ATTCATTCTTCACCGGTTGCTGTGTAATGTACTGAATTGCTCAGTCTTGAACTACAGTGTGGCGTGGCACGGCCGCCATCTGAGCATGGCGCGCAAAAGGTGCCACTAATACACACACATATATCTTACACTGTTATTTAAAATAATATTTAATAATATTTAATCTGTATTACTAAACCAACACTCCAGTTCCTAACTCAGTTTCTGTAAAAAAAAGAACAAAAGCCAAGTATCACTTTTAATAACATCGATCATTGCTCATCAGTTAAAATAGTACTGAAAAATCTTGGAAGTTTGTTCAGGGACAGAGGCGAGCTATGTGTTTAGCACTAACATGTGCCACCTAATAGATTTTCCTCCCATTGTAAAGATATGTATTTTATACTTTTTTTTTCCCCTAACATGACAGGAGTTTGGAGTTATAATGAATTTAAAACCAAAATCCTGGATCTTGGCAGATGTTTTGCCTTGGTTCTTTGTGTAGGATTTCTTAACTGTTCTAGTTTAGAATTCATGTTCAAAGTCAGTACATATACACTTAAAACTGTTAATTTATTATTAGGAGAACAGTTTTATGCATTGCTTAAATTATACTTCAGTTAGGCTATTTGTGAATTGAATGCCTTGGAACACTGACTTACAGTATTTCAGCTGGGAATCAAACTGTTCTATGATTCTGTGCTCACTTTAATGATGATCTGAACAATACAGGTTCTTTCCAGAAGTTAACTCATAGCTGAGGCCAGATCTAAAATGTAATTCAAAGAAACAGAGATTTTCAGCTCACTATCATCCTGTATTTTGCACTTGTCTGCATGAGGCACAGAGTACCCATGGATGACAGATATGTCCAGGCTCTCATCCAGTGTAGCATATAGTTAGCCTGGGTAGTTGAAGCATTTTTCTACAGTGTTATGTTTTATTCTAAACCAGGGCTAATTAAAATGTAAGATAGGAAATAACTTATTAAAAACAGTTCTTCAAAATATGATTTAGGAGTTGTCATATGTAGACCATGAGTAAATGAAGTCGTGCTTTTAAGAAAGAGGTAAGTATGTAAATGTTCAAATGGGTGGTTGTCCTGAAAGGCATAAGAAGAAATCTCCTGTTTCAATCACCCTTTATGAGGCCTCTAGTGGAGTATTGTGCTGAGTATAAGCATTGCACTTCAGGAAAGAGGATCTGTTGATAGTCATTGGGGTTGAAGAGGAAAAGAGAGAACAGGCATAAATCTTCAAATACATGAAAGACTTCTGCATACAGGAAGGAAATAGTCTATTCTCTACATCCAGAACATAATGAACTTAATTTAAAGTGCATAAAGTTCAAGTCTGGTGACTGGGAAAACCACTTTATGCCAAGCATAATGAATTGCTGGAACAGATTTCTAAGGGAGGTGACAGGCACTTCATTACTGAAAAATCTTTCAGGGAGGGCTAGAAAAACCTCTCTTGCAAACGGCATAGGTATAGCAAACCTCATCTTGGGGCAGGGAGGTGGAATAATTACACTTGAATTCCCTTTTAGACATACATTTTTAAGACAGTGTATACATCACACTCAAACTGTGGTAAAGTATTGCAAATTAATTGTGGCAGTAATAATGAATATTTAGCTACTAATTTTGAGTAAATTAATTTTCCTTAGGTTGCCACTTTTGGCATTGTTAGCAATCAAATGAGTGTCTTGCATTTAATGTTTACCCTGTTTCTTTCCAAACTTATTTTCTCATTGATTACATCTACTCTTTCAAAAGGCAAACAGCTTATCTTAACTTTAAACATGACAGTGAGAATGGAAGGCAACTTATCCTTAGAGAAATAATTTCTGCTTGCCACTTTTTTTGTAATCTTTTACAGCAGTAGGCTTTTTCTTCCTCCAGAAAACATTAACTTACAATTAAGACTTTGAATTTGTATGAGACTTAAAGGGGAAGAAGATAGTTATTTATGAGAGAGGATATATCTGGAAAAAAAGTGAGAAAACACACAAGTTAGAAAAATGCAGGGTAGGATTTCACATAAGAATTGGACTCTGATCCTTGTGGGTCCCTTCCAACTTAAAGTATTCTGTGATTTCGAAAGTATCTAGAGTGTGGGGTATATGCCTGGATCTGGAAAGCCTAGTTCCACATTTCCTAGGATCTGAGCTAATCTGTCATTCTTTAGCATTCTAAAATTCATCTGTTGTGCACAATTTAAGAGTGTATTTGAAACAAATATGTGGTCTATTGATTAGCACATGACACATGCCAACAGTATATCTTGGTATGGTTCCAATCCTTGTACTTCAGAAACATTTTGGATGAGATTTCAAGTTAAGAGTTACAGAAAGAGAACTCCAATGCTTACTTTGCTGTTTGGGCGTTTTTTTTCTTTTTATTTTCTTTTCAAACTTTTAGCCATCTTGGAAGCTTTCTAAAAAAACCTGTCATTGTGGAGATATTTAGCCCAAATTGCAGTATTTCACTGGAAATATTTGGTGAGAAACTGGATAACTGCAGATGTGTATGTGATGAACACATTAAAAAGGTATTGAACATTGCAAAAATAAAATATTTTCTTGTAGGTTCATAATGGCTTAATTTCTATTCTGATAAGTGGGGGGAGAGAATTAAATAATCAACAAAAATATGCCGGTTACTATGGGAAACCTTAAAAGGTCTAAAGAATTGGAGGAACGAATACAGGCATTTTGGTCCGACTTCTCACGGGACTACATAAACAGTGTTATTGCTCTATAGGGTCAAGACCTTCAAAGGTACTTATGGGGGACCTAGTCATCCAAGTGATTTGAAAATTATGCCCCGTCCCTTCCTCTTGTCCTGATCCTTCAGCAAACATGCTTTTAGTTAGGAGCACAAAGGATGGAAATTCCTGTGAGAGGTTTAGACACACGTAAATTAAATTATTGAGTAATAACAGTTCCAACTGTTGAAAACTGACATAGCTAATAACATGCAAGGGGGACATGGCCATCTTTTTCCCCCAAGTTTTAATTTTGTCTAGTGTTCTCACTTCTTGCTTTATGCATCTTTTCCACTCTAGTTCAACTTAGTAAAGCTATGGATAGCTTAAAAATGGACAGCATACACAGAACTTCATCTAAAAATGAAAAATATGGGCGGCTTCTTATGAACAAGAATTTGTTCATAAGTTGCTATCAATAAAAGAAAAAAATTGATTAGGTATGGGTTTTTTTCCTTGCCGATTCTTAGAAAGTCCAGAAACCTTTATTTCACAGAAATATATGGAGTAGTTGAAATCCCTTGACCAATACAAAGATCAGACCTACTGTAAGCAGACTGTTGAGGTGGATAAAATTTGTTGGTTTAATTTAGACCAAAATCTAATTAAGCCTAATCCTCAAAACAGCCTCCTGACTGTGAATTTTGATCCAAAGTTATGTACTTATAATTGCAACTAAATCTGTAGCTGATGTTTGTCTTTGACTTCATATTCAAAAAATGACAATAATGTTCTAGGGTATGAATAAATCTTAATAGCTTAAGTTCTTAGTTATTTTCGTAGACTCATACAATCATTCAGGTTGGAAAAGACCTCTAAGACCATGAAGTCCAACAGAGAACTGTAGAATCATTTAGCTTGGAAAAGACCATCAAGTCCAAGGACTAACCCTGCACAGCCAAGTCCACCACTAAGCCGTGTCCCCAAGTGCCACATCTACACCCCTTTTAAATACCTCCAGGGATGGTGACTCCACCACTTCCCTGGGCAGCCTGTTTCAGTGCTTGGTTCTAATTCTAATGCTATTTGAGATTAGCTGAATATTTATCTCTTGGTTCCTGTGCTTCCACCTTGGGGCCATGCTGAAGTGTCTAAATCTGCACATAGTGGAAACGTAATCTCTTAGACAAGTAAGGGACCATCCATTAAACTGGCAGTGAGAATTGTATGTAGTCCATGTAAAGTTCAGGTTTGAATAACTTGAAAAGGATTCAGTTAACTTTATGTTCATATAACGAAATATAAACCCAGAATAGGAACAGATGAGTCAACGACAGTTCTTCTGTTAATAGATCCCTGGGAAAAGGGATGGAATTCCAGTCTTTCATCTGCATGTAAATTTGACCAATTGGTATTAGTGTCTCACTGAAATAACAAAATTTTTGTTTGATATGTAAAATGTTACTGACAACACGTTTGATCTGTCTGAGATCAGGCAGGCAATAATGGATAGAGTGGCAAATGTTACCAACAAAGTCCTGGGGTACAGAAGATCTCTGGCTGGAGAACCAGTCTGAGTTTATAAAGCAATTCCTTCTCTGTGGTCATGGTTTAGCATGGTTTATCCACAAAGATACCTCTTACTGACAAAGTCTCTCAACAGCCTCACACTATTAAAGTTTTTGAAGAGCAGACAATAAAGCAATTAGTCTTAGTAACTGGCTATTTAGTGGGGGGTAGGGGGCAGGGATGGAGGAGTATAGGTATTTATTTCTCTCCTGTTCTAGATTGACACCTGTGAAAACCTTTATTTTCAGATAAGTAACTCTGCGGACTCAAAATTTTTGACAGTTGGTTTAAAGTGGATACAAAGCCTTTCAAAACAAGCTTGCTAAACATTATTAAGAAATGGAGCTGGATGGTTTAAGGAGCATCTGCTGAGATTTGTCAGTTGGGTAAAATGGAGTGTGTATGTGCATGCATCTTTAAATGCGCTAAAGGACTAACTATAAGCTTGGGGACTTTTTACATGTAGTCCCTTAATGAGCTGGGTTTGCAGATTTTAAATTTTATTTTCTTAGTGGTTTTTTTTTCAGTCTTTTGGATTGTTTTTTTTTCTGCTTTCCAGATATTGTACATGCGTATCCTGTAGGGTTAATTCTCCATTGTAGCACTTGCCACCTCTGGAAATCAGGCCCAGACAGTCTTAAAATGATTTAGTAAAACTATATTTGTTTTATTTTATAAATAACTATTTTTATTTTGTATAACAGTGTAAGTAGGGCTTACTACATTTTTATTCACCACAGTAAGGAAAGTTTTCTCTATCATCATACCTGTCTCTCTTTGGTAATCTAACTGAATTAGAAGAATTTATAAAAGTGACAGATGCTGGACTCCAAAGAGAGGTGACCAAGAGAGATTATTGTATGATGGTAGCAATCATGGGCCATCTCCTGGCTATGAAAGAGAGGCAGACAACTGCTGACAAACTCTTTGAACCTTTAAAAGAGATGGCTGCACTACTAGAAAGCTGTGGACAGAAGATGACAGGTGACATTTGTGCCCAGTTGGAGGTACTGTAGCAAAAATAATATTTCATATTTACCTATGTGTATATGATCCTATAATAGCAGTATTTATTCTCAGGGATGTAAATAATTCCATTCTCCTTGTTTCTTCTCAACTGCCAGCAATAAAACCAGGTAGTTTTTCTTTTGTTTTTTAAAAACTTGTTTTATGTGAATGATGGAAAATCAGTTCAAAAAGAGATGCTACATTTTGTTCTGATGAGGTCCACAGTTATTTTTTGCTATTTTCTTTTCTTAATAATGACCAAATCATGTTCACATTGATAAGCATCCTTCCAGAATCTGAACCATATAGGAGGAACTCCAGTGAGTGTATCTCCTATGTTGCTTTGCCAAACATAACACAGTTTCAGTAGTTTGGGACTCTGTTCATATATAAATACAAAAGGTAGGATTTGATCGTTGTCATGTGGTGCTGTCTTACAGACATCCTTGGTCACTTGTTTCTCTATATATTCTGTCCCATACCCATTCCAGTTATAATTATTTTGACTGCCAAACAAAATTTTAGGGAATTACATTAATTAAGCGAAACTCAGTGGTAAGAATAGGTGGGAAAGCACTACAGCTGTAGTGGTTTCTACTGACACTAAAAGAGCTTTTTAAGCTATGGCTTCCAGAGTAGCACCTGCATATGAGAGACCCTTATTTGGTCTGTTTTGGGAGATGCACTACACCGTAAATACTGTTAAATAGAATTGGGTAGAATCAATTGGATAGCAATTAAACTAATGTTTTTCATCAAATAATCTAATTAGTCAAAATTATAACTCCTCCCCAGTTTCAGTGAGCTTCCTGTCCACAGTGGAATTTCTATTTCTGAGTTGATCTGGTCTAGTATTTTTTAGTAGGATTTTTGACATGTTCGTTAAACTGGTTTTTTACTTAATCTGAAGTGATTTGAATTCAAGCTTCTCTTTCTTGTATTTTTCATATGAACAAAAACCACCTGTCAAGGTATTTTTTTCATCCTGTTGGAATTTTTTTCACATGGCTTACTGAATGTTTTTCTAGACATCCTGGGGAGAATGAGAAAGGTATTTCCAGGTCATCTTTATATACTTGAAAATGTGTTAAAGCAGAAGGAGAAGAGCTCTCTATTTTACTGTGTGGAAGATAATTTAAATGAAGTTTTATGTGATTATACATAAAATAACTACGTTCATCAAGTTCAAGTAGTTTATAATTACCAATGATCCATAAAATCAATTCTTTTACAGTTGACAAAGGTTCTAGTACAAACTATGGCATAGAGTATACTTCTGGTTAAATAATTTATCCACTGTAATTTCTTATTCATAAGCATGTATTGGAGTATCCTTACTGTTAATATACAGATTTTACTGATGTATTTCTGTCATGTGTGGTATTTTTTGCTTTAAGAAAATGTTACTCTGTTAAATAGGAATTACCTGAAAAATTGAATATCCTTAGGAAGAGAGCTGTGTCGGCCAAGTACAAACTAACTCCTCTTCAGGCATCTGATGTTGCAGTTAATCAGAAGAAAATGCACTTTACTTGATGTACACTGAATTGTGGGATCAGTCTTTTTTGTCTCATTTTTTTTTAAATAAGAACATGTTTAGTGACAAGTGTCATTACCTGTGCTTTATCGAGGAAGCAGATGGAATTCAGAGAAAGATTTAAAATGGAAGTTCCCTTTGAGTTTGATGTAGAAAATCCATATGCTCATCTCAATAAGGTGATGAGTAATCTCAGAAAAACATATTTGCTTGTAATTTTTCGGTATGATATTTAATGATATTTCAATGTACACATTAAAATATTTGTGGTTTGTGTGGGTTTTTTGGGGGGAATAGCAGGGGTTTGGAGAGTTGTTTGTTTTGGAGGGTTTTTTCGGTTTACTGTTTTATGGGGATTTTTTGTTTGTTTGTTGGTTGGTTTGGGGATTTTTTTCAAGAAGCTGGTATAATTCTAATGCCACCAAATTCAGGTTTCTTGTTTCTCTTCTCATGTTGCATATGCTTCCTAAAACTTTAAAAAGTCAGAATACTTTCTCATGTTCCTTCCTAAAGTCGACTATTTAGTGGATCTTTTTTAAAACAGCATGAAGGGACTTTGTAAACATTTATACAACTTTAAGAAGTGGTTTAATAAGTTCAGAGATTTATTACAAGAGTATAAATTAACTGCTTTCTATGCAGTTTTTCTTTTATGCTTCAAATACAGAGTCCTTTTTATGCTTTTCGGAGCTTTCAGGGGCAATGCAAATATAGCTTTTTATAACCTCTCTGCAATAATTCTCTCAGCTTTTCTTATTGAATCATATATACAGGATGAACTGACCCCACCATATACAGGATCTATAGATTTCACTGACAGGTTTACCTAAGCTCAATGTACTCTACAACTGTATTTTGAGTGCTCTTTTCCTCTTCAAGGCAAATCAAGAGCTTGAGATACTGGAAAGAGAAATGTTACTAATGCAGGAATCTACCTGCAAAACTATTTGAAGTAACTATTCCAGGCTACAAGCACATGAAACCGTGTTGAAAAGTGCAGTCTCTCAAGAAAGTTTGGGATATTCACGTTGATATTAATAGAAGATTTTCATGTTGATATTAATATTTTTCTTAAAATTATTTACAAATTTAGAATATATTTTAATGTTATACTTTTAATTTGATGTTAGAAGTGTTACAATTTTGATTAAAAAAACAAGTTTAAAATGCAGAAGATTTTAATATTCCTTTTGTTTTTGAAATAATAGTTGCTATGTTTTAGGATATCCAGAGTAAAAGTATCTGTTCTCAAGTCAATCAATTTCAAGATATTCCCAAAACAAAACAAACTTCGTATTTTCATTTAGAGATTTCTTAATACCAATAACTTGCTTGCGTAATTAAAACAACTGAGTAAAAATTCAGAAATCCAGAAAATTCCACTTCAGAACTGAGGACTGTACATTGAAAAGCCCTACAAAGTTAGAAGCAGGAGTCCAGAAAATTCAGTGTACAGAACTGTATGGGAAATCAGTCTATAAAGTTCTGTTTCCCTCGACAAATTGCTTTTCATAGACAAGGTTAAAAATATAGTATCAGATACTGAGGAAAGCGTGAAACTGGTAAAATGCTTGGCCTTTGGGTTGAATTTTCAGAAGATGGATTATTATATGTGCTTTCTAGGTAGTGGTGGTATAGGTTTGGAAAAAAATTAAGGTCCAAGAGCTATTGCTGTGTGATAGGCTTTTCCCTGCATCAGTTTATCTGTTATGTACCAGAAGCTCTTCTTTACCAAATGTTGTTGATGCTGTTATCTGTACTTTCTGTTTCAGAGCAGCATTGATGATTGGACTAAAACCCAGTGGAGAGAGATTAATGTGGAACAGATGGATGTGCAGCTCAGAAGGTTTGCCAAGGCAGGTTCCATAGCTGTCTATTTCAGCAATTTATCTGTCTCAGTGCCACCCCTTTCTCATTCTTCCCACCCACTTTGATGTTGCAATGGATTTATTACTCATGTCCAAAACTGAATTTTCTGGAACATGCTTTGTTTTGGGGGTTTTCCTCTAAAACTTTGTTCTTCTGAATGAGTTTCCACTTCCTATGGAGGTACATGATAAAACCACGCTGTCACTTCTCTGAGCTGAGGTAGTACGTGAAAGAATAAAAAGGTTGGGGGTTTATGACAGACCTCACCTGTTGACAGTCATTTTTAGAGACAGATGGAATTTGCAGAGGTTTATCTGCTCGGCTCACAGACATAGCTCTAGAGTCTTGGGAGCTGCAGGAAAGGTACTCATTTTTAAAGGGAGGACACTTTCTTTGCTTTAAGTATTTGCAATGCTTTGTTGACAGCAGCCCTGCAGAAGACAATTCTCATGGGACAAGGGAAGTATGAAGCAAAAATAACAACAAAGGCCCCCCAGACTATTTGCAGGACACTAGAGGAATAACTGTGGTTCACAGACAGTATAGTAGTTGAGTATAAAGTCTTGAACCTAATGGGTATAAAGTTTCTTCTTTACACATTTGTTTCATTCAGGAATAAATAAGCTTAATTGCATGCCCAATTATTAGTGCTTTAAGAGAAAAATCAGACTTCATGGTAGATGTCTTGGCTTTTATTGCTTCAGAATTGTGGACTCTGCCTAGCCAGTTCTGATACTGGGGATTGTCATGCTGTGATAGGTGTGGTAAAGGCAAAGAGAGGATTGAGATAACTGCATTCTCCTTCTGCTTTTGCATCATTCCCTGTGGCACATATGCCAGGTCTTGGAACACAAAAGATGCTGTTCACTGCCTGTGAGCTGATCACTTATGTCATGTTCATCATGCTCCAGTGGGTATATGAGTCTCCCTTACTCCTCTGAGCAGTGGTTTCAAATGTATTAATTTATGTATAATTTTATCTGCAGCTAAATAATTAATAAGAAAACTATACCTAAATTATGAGGGCTATGTTAAACTAAAAGGCTGTGATCCAACTGGAATAATAAAATCACTATGTAAATATGGTGTTAATACAGTTCTATTACTTTAAACGACATACTGGAAAGTATATTTCCGGTCTTTGACTTACCTGCCACATAAACCGATAAGCCAAATAAAATCTTCCTTAGTCTTGTGCTAACTACAACTTTCACACATATCTGCACATGCTTTCTTTTTCTAGGCCCTTTTTAGGCACTGGAAGGTGCTATAAGGTGTCCTTGGAACCTTCTCTTGTCCAACCTGAACAACCCCAACTCTCTCAGCCCTCTGATCATCTTCACGGCTCTTCTCTGGACTCCCTCCAACAAGTGCACATCATTCTTATGTTGGGGGCACCAGAGCAGGACACATAATTCCAGGAAGAGTCTCACAAGAGCAGAGGAGAGGTGGAGAATCACTTCTCGACCTGCTGGCCACTCTGCTTTTGATGCAGTCCAGGACATGAGAATGAGTTCACAGGGAGACTGTTGACCTGACAGCAGATAGAAAAGAAAAAAGAAAAAGAAAAAAATGAGGGGTGCCAGAAGGGAAACAATGTATACATTTAACCCAATTGTTGATCACGTAGCTGGAACACCAAAGAAGGTTCTATGAACCAAAAAAAAAAAAGTTATTTCAGTTTCTCAAAAAGAATCCGAGTGGCTTTAGTTCCTAAGCTATAACATGCATCAGTTGTTGGTTTTCAAAATTCGAATAAATTTTTTTTAATCATTTTGAGAAAAAAATTTGAAGACTGATTTCCAAATGTTTTAATTTTTTTCATTTTTAAAATAAAAAGAACTATAAAGCTGAAAGCACAAGAGAGTGAGTGTAACATAATGTTTCTATTCTATTTCCATATACCAGTAATTTATCACATACAGTTTTAAAATTATTATTTAAATAATTTAAATTTAATTATTTAAATAATTTAAAATTATTTTAAATGCAGAAAGCTCCTAAACAGGATTAGCACAGAAATTTTGTGGGGTTTTTTTTTAGCAAAAATAATGAGGAAAGGATTGACTGTCATCTTTTCAAATCATAGATAAAAAGTTTAGGGTTTTTTTTTAATTGCTGTCTTACAAAGTAGTAACAAAATACAGTAAATACCCCCATCACTCCCCAAGGTTTCTAGTCTGCAAATACTGTGTCTGTAGCTTACATCAAATTCAATGCAGCTGTGGAAACAAACTTGCCTTTTAGTGTTAAGATGTACAATATATCACAGTACAGGGCAAAACAAAATACCCCCACAGTAACAGCATCAAGAAATATTTCACCTAGGCCTATTAACTTCACATTTTTGGTGCAAATCTGAAAGTATATCCAATATCTAGAGTGCATATAATTTATTTTGTTGTGTTTTTTAGTTAAATACCATTTGAACATGTCGTTATATGCTTATGTCTGACTTTTCTTGATCGTGGACTTATTTTGCTCTCTGCTGTCTCTTTCCTGTACAGGTCAGGCTTTTAGTATGGGAAGATACTACCTTGTCCAACCTTCTGAGACTCCAGCTTCAGAAAAGTAGAAAATGAAGTCCAAAGTGTAGTTGTCAATGCTGTGCAAGAGTTGAGTACTGAACAAGAGAGAGATGCACATTTTTTTCTTCTGTTTTTTGCAGAATAGTATGTAACAAACTATTTGTCTGATTAGGTTTTTTTCCAAGCAGTTAATGATGGAAGTGAATATTTTCATATGACTTACCTAGGGATCAAAATTCACAGCCTAGAGAAATGAACTTCTTGTCTGGTGTAGTTTACCATCACTGTGAATTAAATATAATTTAATTAAAGGTACCAATTTGAAATGTGATATATATAGAGAGACACGGATGTTATTATTACTCTTCTTATTCACAGATTTTGGCAGAAATCTGCCAAACATGGACAGCCGTTGAATTTTTTTATGAAGAGCATCAGAGGAAATAGAATCCTTTATTGAAGTCAGATGAACAGCTGCTTGAAACTTCAGATAACGATCAAGTAAGGATTTAATTAATAGCAATACCATATCAATATTACTCATTCCCTTCTTTATACTTTTATTTAAAACTTTTTTCCTGAATCATTATTGCAGAGAGTTATATTTTCTTCAGGTGTTAGTAGTGAGAATTTACATGTATGCTATGTAACTTCATGTGTTAAAAAAAATTGCTGTTTCCATGTAGGAGTTAAACAAAATCACAGCTTTCTAAGATTGTATTTTCTTCTATTTTTTTTAATCCTTTAATAATATGCTGTGCATTTTCATTGTTTAAAGATATCTTATGTTGTGATATACAATAACAGTTACTGGAGAATTTGTTAGGCTCTTGCTAGCTCTAGTTCCTCTGTTTGATAAATTATTTTGATTAGTACAGTTTTTTTCTATTTTTTTTTTATTTTTCTAGTTTCAGCTGCAAATAATTCTGAAAAGTAAATATGTGGTGTATTTCACTGAACAAGTGAAAGGTTGGCAAAATAAAATGGCAGATTCTGTCATTTTCATTTGGATGGTAGTTCAATGCACATGGTCTTTTCTAGAAAGTATCTTCACTGGCTCTGAAAACATCAGAAGCTAGCTGCCTTGAAGATGCAAACAAATTTGATGAGATCAACAGAGACTTCAAAGTTAGTAGAGTTATTAGTTTCTATTAATTTATATCTTGCATTTGAATTCTTTAGAATGTTTCCTAAATAATACCATATTGACTGTTAATTTGGGTATTTCTTTCATAGACTTGTTTCTAACCTACTGAATTAACATTATTATGAGAGTCTCAGGCTTACTTGGGAGAATATCAGAAGTGGATTTTGCATTTTTATTATTAAAATCAAAGCAATTATTTGCCTTATTTTCCTTTTGCATGGACTGGCAGTTGCTGGTGACATGATTTGAGACAAAGTTTGGAGGTCATTCCTTCACATATCTTTAATATCTTCTTTTATTTACTCACTGTTAGTTTTTTAACCTCTTGGAATCACATAGAGATATAATACTTCTGAGCTGCAGAAATCTCTTCTGCTGAACTCCATGTCATTTAGGACAGTGATGATTAAAATACAAGTTTATGGTCTGTTATTTAATGTTGGCAAAGTTAAGTACAGGAATCAACCTTAACATTTGAACTTGACACAAAACACTGTGCCTTAAGTGTTCATTCTGACCAAAAAAAGTCACTGAACCCTTCAATAGTAAAGATTTTGCATTGTCAATATACCTGTAATTCAATCCACATATGCCAGAGAAAGTTCTCATCATGGGCAATTCTGAAAAGCTAATATATTATAATGTTCTATAGGGAAGCTCTATGTTTGAAATTTTAAATATACTTCTAGTCGCTTAAATCTGCAGTTTAAAAATGTGGACAGCAGCATGTCTTAGCATGTAAAAGTATATTTATTCACTTCTTGTGTCAATACAAACATGTATTCATCCATCAAAGATAAAATATGCATCTTGAAAAAAGTGGCTCCTTTGCACTCACATTCAACTGGTTCTTTTCTACTGCTTTTTTTATTGTTTTGTTTTGTTGGGTTTGGTTTTTTTTTTTCATTTATCTGCACCTAACTGCCCTGTTGAGTAGGAACTTTTTTTCTTGTCCCTTACTTGCTGAGGCTGGACTCTTTGGAAGGTCAAAGAGGATTTTGCCCCTAGCCAGACTTACCTTTTTAGGAACTTTTCTGGCAAAATTCCCTTCTCTTGGGTTCCTTGGTCTTAATTATTACAAGATGATGTTCCCTTTCATTTTCTGGAAAGGAAACATATAAGGTTTGCCACCTTCTCTGTTCCTTACAGCTGTGTTCATTGTTGTAACTTTAAATTAAAAGTGGGTTGTGTTGTTCTGTTATACTGTTTGGTCTGATTTTTACCTTAACTGGGAGGGAATTTTTGGCTTATTTTTTTAGGATGATAAAAGGCATGTATGGTTAAAATCTCTGTCATATTTTCAGACTTTCTCTTTGTGAAAAAGCTTTGTCTGCATATGAAGAAACCAAGCACGTCTTTTCCTTGCTTCTATTTTGTTTTTTCAGCAGACTTGCTAGACATCCTTTCAAAAGGAACACAGCCAAAACAGGTGAGCCTCTTTGTGTATGAATGTACTTCATTTTGTCTACAGAAAGACAAGTTGTCCAGCTAACTACATGAGGTGACAGTATCATAGAACTGCACCTTTGTTACTGAGCATTAATTTACTTTGCAAACAGGAACACTTTGCCTAAGGAAGGTAGTAAACATTTTTTCTCCCAGCTAGGACAAGTAGAAGGTATTCAGCAAAGAGAAATGAGAGACGTGTTACAGGTCCTGGGCTGTCTTTGCTGAAAATTTAGCCAGTGAAAGTTGCATTTCTTTGGATTTTTGGATTGTAGGTTTGCAGGAATTAGAAATGGAAAAGGTCAGTGAGATCATCAAATCTATTCTCCTTCTAGCACAGATTGATCAAATTTCAGGCATACTATGTGCAGTGATGATAAGTAAGACTGAAAGATCTATGGTATCTGTTAGGCTGTTGACTATTGTACGAGGAATGTTTTTGTAACCGTCCTTCTGTGTTCCTCCTGTGAACAATAATCTGCTGGGTTTTGTGATGCTTTGAGAACAATTTATATAAAAGCACAGGCACTTTGATGTATTTCAGGAGCTTCATACTATGTTATCTACATGCCAGGTGATACTCCTGGCCTCAGTTAGTATCCAGCCACAGCCATCAATTCTCAATGCTACAGTTTTTAGTGTGCCTCAGGCTAAGCCTTTTTTTGAAGGGCTGTGACATACAGCAGAAGAACTGATACTTTCCAAGAGGATGAAGGACTTGTGAGGCTCAAACACTGAGCCTTTTCAAACATGATGGTAGACTCTCATAGATTCTTCATGTAACTAAATCTCAGTGATTTTTTTCACCCACATATAAGAGCAACCAAACAAACCTTCTGTTCTAGTTGTCAGGAATAGAGAATGCTGGTGTATATACAGTGATCTTCAAAGTCCACAGTCTTTGGGGAGATATCTAGTTACACAAGTCATTTCGACCTCAATAGGTAATTTGTGATATAAGCACTAGCCATAATTAATAACAATTTCAAGACTTCTCGGTTTTATATTGAGATATCTTTGTCCTTCAGACTGTTCTGACAACTGAAAGTCAGAAGAGTAGTGTGATTAACTCCATTCACTGATTTATCTGTGACCATTTTGCTCCAGCTTTTCCCATAAAAACCTTTTGTGTAGTAATCATACAACACTCAGATAGTCATCCAGTTTAACAGAAGTATGCATTAGTGTCATTGACACAAACCTAAGGTAAATGGCTTCCTTATACATCTGCTATTTTTGGGTGTGGATAGCCCATCATCTTACCATACTTTTTGGCAGAGTTGCTGATCATAAATTTCAAGAGAATACAGAGGAATCTATAAATGCTGCCCTTGGGCACAGAGTATATTCTGTTTCATGACAAATGTGGAGCCGGTAGTCAGGTGTGTTGAATTATGTGAAACCTCCTTCATGGATTTTGCCCTCTTTGGGATGCTACTTTTAAAAATGTAAATTTTGAAAAAATAATGATAAATAAACAAATAATAATAAAACCAGAACATTTTGTTATCCAAAGCTGTGTGATTTACTAAAAATTTAATACATTGTCTATCTGCCTCTTGTACATACGGTGTTTTTTAAAAGAAGTGTAGAGAGCTTACTGTTTTGATGCAATGAAAAAGAAAAAAAGGTACTAAAAGTCACAGAACTGATCAAGATTATGGTTAAATGTTGCATTTCTCATACTTCCTGTCTTCTGCCCTTTTTATTTCATCTTTTTTTATATAGTTTCACATCCCCTCCTATCTTATCCTTTAGCACACACCTCTCCAGACCTCCAGTGCTCTCACACGTCCCCTATCATCTGAACAGGGTTTCAGCTGGTTTTGAGCCTTATATTTGCTGATTGGCCAGCCAGTATTTGTGCTAGCTGTGTAGTGGTAGGTCAGAGAGAACAGATCAGCAACTTCTGAGACAATAACTTATTGTTCTCAGAACAGTACTGAATGCATAAGCATTCACATTGCATAAAATCGATGTTGCTTGTGGTTCTAATGATTGATTGTCTCAGCAGGGAGGCCTCAGACTGAATGGACAAATATATGCAGCTTGCCTCTTAGAGATAGTTTCTCCAAGATGCAGCTACATTTGAGTACATAGAGACATAGGAAAGACTGTATTGTCTGGGCTTACTCTGTGTCTGTGAACACAAAAACTTCAGACTTTCATATTTGGAGCTCTAAGACATTATGTCTGGGTGTTCCAGTCAAGTGGATATGTAAAACAAAGCAACGTCTATCATCTCATCTAAATCCTAATGCAGAGGCAATAACAGAGAAAATGGAGGGAAAAAGTCCGCTTTTGTTTCAAGTTAGTAAAAACTTTAATGTAAAGAAAATCCTTTGTAAAGATTAATGAGATTAGCTTCCTTTATTTTTGGTATCAAATGTACCATTTATGCATGCTTGGGTTTTTTGCTTCAAAGGTAGAGTCTTGGTTGCAATACCTTGAGGAAACTGCACACAAACTGGTGCGTCTCTGCATCATGGAGGCAATACTGGCCTATGAAGAGAAGCAGAGAGAACAGTAAGTTTTTTACTACCCAGCCCAGACTGAACTCACTGCTTCATAAATCTGTTAGGTTTCAGATGTAGAAGTGGCATTTGGTAGGGTGGACAAGGGCTTAGCATCAGCCCCCAAGGATTGCCACAAGAAGCAGGAATGGATATCTTCTTTTTGTTTAATTCAGAGAAAATAAGTACAGTGCGAAAATGGTCCCGTAAAAAGATATGAGTGGCATATTGGATAATTTTAATACCATAGTAAATAAACTGCTATTAGCACCTACTGAAAAAAGAAACATAGCTTTTGCTTCCATTTTTGCTACCTCGCGGTTATTTTTATCACATTTTAATTAATTATCCCACATCTTTTGCAGTATTATTCCAAAATGAGATGAAAGGTAAGCAAAGATACTGCCCAACATCAACCATTATACTGTACTAAGAACAGAGTATGCAGCCAGTGTGCATACAAATATTAAGCCCATATATTTGTGTAAAGAAGCCAAAGTTGTTGGGTTTATTTTTGTCAAACCAACCAGTTTACTTCTAAGATTAGTTTTAGTCCCATTTCAGAAGGGTGCCTTCTGCCATTTGATTTTTGCTTTGCTCTTGTTTAACTCCAACTTCTCCTGAGTGTTTCTGTCCTGCTATGAGTACGCTTTCTCTTTGCGAAAACTTTCAGTAGTTTTGGTTTTGCTTTTCAACACAGAATATCTGCTGAAGGGAAATGCAAAATAAGAAAGAGACTTTAAAAGGGTGATGGATATCTGACAGAGTTGTCTAAAATTTCCCTGTAATAGCAAAGATACTACATCTTTCTACTGAAGTTAGTTATATTTTCCTCCTTAGAATTACATGCAGTAGCTGTGTATGGATTTTTTTCTCTTATTAATATGAAACCTGAATAATTCCATAGTCACTTCCCACTATGTAATCCTGTATAGTGATTTATGTCATGTTTTGTGATCATCTCCTTATTGCATTGCCTATTTTTAAAATGTAAGTCACTGATCTTTCCTAAAAGCTATTTTTAGTTTGCCAATAAATGTTCTCATGCAATTAGTACAATTTTTGCAGAGTCTGGTGCATATCTCTATGAAGATTATAACCACAGAATTTACAATTCAACTTCATGAACATCGTCTTATCCATCCATTCCTCCTACCCTGCCTAGCTGACCATTTGCAGTAATTTTGCTCACCTGAATTGTCATTGTTTTAGGGGTGGTTCAAATGTCTGTTTTAACCAGGATTTCTTCTGGCATCTCAGGTTTAATACCAGCAAATTTGTACATACAAGCCAGTTTTTGTGGTGATCTAGTTCATGATGTAGGCAGAACTAATTTCTAGTAGCAATAATGGTAGATGTTGCTGAGGTCCATCTGAGGTTTTAGATGGTTATCTAAATCTTTCAGGTCACTTGGAGAAACGCTCTTATTACCATGCTGCTTTGAGAACTTTCCTTGGATGATCATCAAAAAATCATGGCCATTTGCACTGTAGACATTCATGCCAAAGATGTATTAGCAAGCCTTTGAGCTCAGAAGGTGTGTATTTGAATCATCTATATTTTCCATGCACAGTTTATTCTGCCTTCAGTAATTCACACTGTTTTTCTCTCCTTTTAGAGGCACACATGCATCTCTAGAGCAAGTCACTCCTCTCCTATGGTGACTCTTTATAAGTGCATACAGTTGAAACTTTCAATGTTTATTTAAACCAAAGTACTCACTCTATGTGTAACTTTGATCGGGTAAACCTAAGGTGGCTGGCATATGCTGCTGGTTTGAATGAACAAAACGTTTCACTGGATGGGAATTGAAATAGAAAAGAATTCTCATTTTCCTTCTAACCTCCTGAACTTCAGAAATAAAATGGTTTTCTAAGACAGCATTAAGATAAGAAGAAACAAGGCTTGAGGAGTAAAATGAAACTCATTCTGGTCAAAGTAATGTCTGCTACCAGGCAAAGACTGCATTTTTTGTAAGGAGAGATCTTGACTTAGTAAGTGACAATGTGTACTGCTGTAATAGCTCTATTAAAATGATCTCTTATTACACTTGCATCTATATAAAAGCACAAATGCCTCAGGGTGCATCTAATCCTTTATGGTTGGTTGTAGTAGTTATTGGTCCTAAGTGGCTAGGAATGTGTGACAGCATTCTGATGGGTGGCATTTCTTCCATCTGAATAGCTCCTACCTGGCATCATGACTCTACAATGGCTTTTTAGGTCACCGGTTTCAGAGCTTTTGCTTGGTTGTCATAGCTACACCATAGATGGGATGATGTCCAGAAACACTGTTTTGCCAACATTAGCGATGCTCAGTTTCAGTACATTTTTAAGTACTTGGGAAATACACCTTTGACTGACAGGTAATGACTGCTACTTACAACAGTCTGCCTTACCTGTTTCTGTGAATAAGAAGTTCAGTGTTCTTTCCTAACTCATATGTATATAGTTATTAAGACACAATATCTTTGAGCATGTGTGTGCATGTAGGTATGCATACTTATGTAATGGTATGATTTTAATGGCCGTTACATTTAAAATTACTGAAATATTCTTTGCATAGGTATGTATTCAGTGTCTAGTCTGAAGGGGAATATGAGTGGATCTTTACCAAGGTTAATCAGGACTTTTCAGCAATTTTTTTTTGTTTGTGTATTAAAGTCCAAACCACTTTTTTAGTTTTTTTCACACCACACACAATGAATTTTTTTTTTTTTTGGAAATGTTTCTACTCCAGTATAGAATTTCTTGTTAAAATAAATGGTCCAAAAAGATGCACCCAGACACCCTGACTGGCTTAGTGCTTACGACCTGCAGTTGGGGGGGCCAATTCTGGGGCTTAAGTCTTTGAAATAGGCAAAGCAGCAACTACAGTCTCCTGTTTCCTGTCCTATGTGACCACTGATAGGATGTTCCTTCTTGCTAAAAAATGCTGATGTGTTTAGTTTTCTAAAATAAGCATTTTCCAAGTAGTATCACACTGTGATTTTACATGAACATGGAAGAGGTACATTTGTGGCTTAGGACATTAAATTTTAATGAGAAAGTCTTGGAATAAATCACCCATGAAGCATAAGGTTTGAAAAAAACCCCCTCCTGATATTGCAGAAGTTCATTGCAATGCAAACAATCACTTTTCTTATGTTAAGGTGTTACATTACTCTAACTCAAGCTCTCGACCTGAAAGTGAGTGGTTCTCCTGAAGAACCAGCTGGCATAGGTAAGACAGAGACCACTGAAGATTTAGGCTGTGCCCTTGGTATGATGGTGTACATCTTCAGCTGTTCAGAATACATGGATGACAAGGTGAGATGTTCTGCTAAGCAGTATGGAGATTGGTGTTTAGCGTTTTTTCATGTGAATTACGCTGGAAACTGTTGCTTTTAAGAAAAAGATGTTAAACCTTCACTTCTGATTTTATTCTAGAGAGAATATCTGTTAAGATTTGGTCCAGACAGGAGCTTGGGGGTGCTTTGATGACTTCAGTGGCGCCTTGGTAGTTCAGTCAGTGGTGGTAGTACAATTAAAGACTATCCATGATACAATTAGGAACAAGAAAAAGGAGTATTTCAGCAGTGCATCTTTATTGTCCTTTGCAGGCTATAAATGCTGAACCTGTAATATCTTTTTCCAAAGTTCCTCTGAAACCCTTTGTAAATGAGGAAGTAGAAGGAAACAGTAAATCACCTGTGTGATATGCTACCTTAAAATCAATTTATCTTCAAAATGTAGCAACAAATGTCAGTGAAATCCTGGTCCTGCAGGATTCCAATTGAAGCTTTGCTATTGAAATTCTGGCCCTGTTCAAGTCCCACCATGTGAAATCATGGCATCATATGGGTGAGAAGTTTGACAAGATTTAACTTGGCAAGAAATCTCAGTGCTTCCAGGGTTTTCCAGCACTTTTGAGACATGCCTTGAGTTTCCACTGTCCCATGTTCTTCTTCTTCTGCTTTCTTTACTCAATGCTGTCTCCTGACCTTTTCAAACCCACCGCATCCCTACTGGTCTCATTTATTCTGCGTGTTTCAAAAGATGATTCTTCCTATAGGCATGCTTCAGCAATATGCGCTCCTTGTGACTCTAGCAGTCTGGTCTTTTCCTTCCATATTCAGTGCTGGCCAGAGGAGCCACAGATTACTAAAGCCTGGTGGCTACCAGGGAAATACCTCTGTTTGATAAGCTCTAGTAAACTGTCCCTTTCTATAAGTATTATCTTTCTTTTAACACTTTTTGGTGTTGCCTTTAACAGATTTGTATTTCTTGGTGAAAATATTACATTGAAGTCCACAGTTGGAATATTATTACCATGATCCCCAGATGTGCAGGTCAGACAGAACTACCTGAAAACCTCATAGCTCTGTTCAGGCAGGTAGTGCTATTGTGTGATTTTATGGTATACTAATATCTCAAGTCCACATTTAGAGTACATATCCCACCTAGTGTTCCTAGCCCTGGTTTGCAATGAAGTGCAACTTCTTTTTGCTACAGAATTGCTGTTAAAAAAAGATCAGTATTCATGTTGTGCCTGCCTCCACACCATAATGACAAGGGAAATTAAATGTCTACCTTGCTGTTTTGTTTTGTTGTTGTTGTTTTTTTTTAATCTATATCAAATTTTAAAGGTACCTGTGCACACATAGGAGGTACCTAAACATATGCAAGAATATTCACTGTTTTGTGGTAAATAGGAATCCTCACAGCTCAGTTAACCTAGTAAAATCACCATTTGAAAACTGTCTAGCTATCACATTCTTGGTTGGGTGTAGGCATGAAAGTATTCATAGATGTTTCGAAACTACCAGCTGAAAATAAAGCTTCATACCCTCACCTAGGAAGATATTGAGTGTGTGATTGTTGAGAAGCTGTGAAAAGTGCAGTGCACATCAAAAACAGTCATATGCTTTTAGGCACTGTGGGACAACCCATTATCTTTTTCTTAAAGTCTGTATTTATGCTTTTTATCTTACCACTAATATTTTGAGGAAGAAAGTTTTGAATTTAAAAGATCTGAATATATTTTGCGTGCTCTGCTCAGTGAGTTTATATCCAAATGATGTTTCTGAGAATGAATTAATTCCACAAACAATTGCTCCAGCCTGATGGGCAGTAAAATTGCCAATTTCTTTCAACAAACTTTTCGAGCTGTCCTTTGAACTACACGGTGCAGGACTTGCTTAAAAAGGAGTCGTCCCTCACGTGCTTGTGCAGAAGTTGTCACCTGACTCTTGCATTGACACTTTCACTGATTTTATCAAGACTTGAGAAAGAAATCATTCTGTGATTTCATTTCTTAACATATTGAACTTCGGTGAGGCAAGCTGCGAGGCATTGTCAGGCTGTCTGGGGAGGCACAAGTATGCACATGCTATCTGCACAGTAAAGGTCTTGGATTTGTGAAAGATAGGTTAGAACCAGGCATCACTGTTGCTTTTGTGAGCAAGTTCAAATACAGGTAGTATTTTCTTCTGTATTAAAAGTACGTCCATATCTTGGTGTGTTTTGTTTTTTCTGCTTTAACCATGGAATTCCTGATACCATAGACCTACATGCTTTCACTGCAGAAAGACACAAAGTCTGCTAAACTTAGAAAGCTGTTTGCTCAGGCACATCTCATCCTTTTGCCAGCCAAACATCCTGCTTCAGATGGCAGGACTGGGGAGCAGCAGCAGCAATTAGTTTTCATGTTCCTTAAGCCCAAATTACACTCATTTGTAACAAGCAGTAATATCTGCGTGCAAGAGGGAGTTTAGGATTTGAATTCTGCAAAGAACGTGTCTAAGTAAGATGCTATAGTTGAGTCTTAGCAAAGGTTGGAGGGAGACCCTGAGAGATATATTGTGCTTCCTTATAAATGGGGGAAGAAGGGGTGTTAATGTTTCGCAACTTGACTGTAGCATTACCAAGCCTTCTCATTAATTGCCATCTAGGAACCCTCAAGGCCAAGCAGAATTAATTTGCACCAAGAGAACAATAATAGACAGCTCCTCAATTCAGACCATTGCACAAAAGGGTGCAAGGGGACAGGGACCCCTGTGTCTGTGCCATGTGGCTGCCACCCCTCCTACATTCAGAGTCAGCTGTCTTGGTGGCCACATCTTCCACATTCAGCTGAGTGTGGTATTGACAAGAAAGCAGGAGGGTTCATTCCCTGTCACTACCAGGTGTTTCATCTCTCACTGGACTACCAGAGAATGGAAAATGCATGTGATTTGTTTTTGTTGTCTATTATTTTTGTTGTTCCTTTTTTTTTTGTTTGGGAAGAAAAGGATAAGGGACATGCAATAATATTAATTAACAAGATCTCTGCTGAAAGATAAGTCATTGCCTTCTACCATGGTTTTCTTTGGCTTTGGTTGGGGTTTTGGATTTGGGGTTTTTTTGTGGGTTTTTTTCTTTTTTTTTTAATTTTCAAAATCTACTTCTACATAAAGCAGAAGTCTTACATTTGCTTGGTTTTCACAAAAAAATAAACCAAATAAAAAGTCTTTGGAATTATAATATGAACTGGAGCATTTGAGACTTGGGAATCCAGCCCTGTAGCTGATGTCTGTAACAGCTTCTATCTATTCTGCAGCGCATGGGAGAGACAGGAGGTAACTGCTAAAGCATTAGCTCCACATATTTGCCACTTAATAAAATCCCACAAGAGAGAGAAGACATAATGAATTCTACTAGCCTGATATTTCTTGCATAAGCAGTTACTCTATTTGCAAAAAGTGTAATAATTATGGTAGGTAGAAGAGCAAGTAATTTTTTAGAATTGCCTGCAATGCATATAGCAGCCCTTGAAGAAATGCCTCTTAGAGCATAGTTTGCTTAAAAGTTGTTTAGCAGAGAGGTTCTTACTCTTTTTCTAGACTATGTTATTGATTTCTGTCAGAAATATACTGCTGACTTAAATTACTGGTCTTAATTTTGTCATATTCAAATATGAATAGGGAACAAAAAAATATTTGTTTTGCAGGAGTGAGGAAGTGCTCTGAGGGAAGAAATTGCTGATTTGTAGCTGACCTGAACAAAAAATTCAAGATTTCTTCTTTGCTATTATATAATCTAAGAAGTGATTTTTAAAATGAGGATATTATTTAGCAATAGCAATATTGTGATACTTTTTAAATGAGATTTAATGAGATTTTTCTCATTTGTATCACTAATATGTCTGTGATTTTGTTCTAAAAGTTTGAACTGGAGGTTATATTTAAAAAAAAAACAGTGAAACCTCTAAAAGCAACTGAGACTTCACATAAAATCGTTAAAGCCCTCCAAAAAAATCAAAGTGCTTTAAAAAATTATGGCATTTTTAGTAATGGTAGGGTGTTGCACTTCCAGACCCTCTACAGCTGTTGGCTGTGACCTCCAGTTGTCGGTGGCAAATGACACCACTGCAGACTGTGACTGCTCTAAGTTTCAGCAGTACCTGTCTCTGTGTTTCTCAACTGCCTCCTTTGTGTGCAGCAATGTTATTGGATATTAACAATCAACAATGCCTAATTATCTTCTCTTGCTTTGAAGTGAGGTTCTTGTTAGCTTTGACTGACACTCTTAACTGTGGCTCTTTTGAGCTCTGCTTTTAAAAATGTTTGCACACATCAGACATTTGATTTAAATTACTTATTCTCACTATGTTTAAATACTAATCTGTGTATTTGGATTATGGGGTTTGTTTTCTTTCCTAGAACCTGTGGCATGGCTGTCCCTGACATTGAACTGATCTCTGAAATTACGTTGGTTGCTGAAGGGTTTATTGATGCGTGTCTGTTAGCTAGGAAGTTTATCACCTTGTAACCACTCTGCTGGGAGCTGCTCCCTGAACAGGTGAGGGTCTCTGGGCTTCTAGGTTGGATACATGTCAACACATACTCCATACCAATGCAGGTGGATATTATAATAATAGGAGGGATTTATATATGTAGTCTTATCTTTTATTTTGAAGGCACTTTAAATCACATGTCCATCCTTAATAAATTGTCAGATATGAATTTGAAAGAAAGTGTCCTTTCCTCTGATCTTGGTATGTTTGTAATGTATTAATTGTGCATTAAAAATTGTATATCTCCACTTCATACCTGGGATGACTGACTACATTGTGCTGCTGTGTATTAGAAAGACAACTTTATAATTTGCAGAAGAGAATAGCAGAGTAGGAATTATTCTGAAAAACAGATAGCGTATTCTAGTTGGACGAACACTTCTTTAAACTTTTCCCAGTAAATACAGTGGAGGACTGTTTGAAAAATGGGAGGGGGGTAGCATTTCTAAATAATTTAATTATTATAATAGAAAGAATTCATATTCGGAAATATTATCTTAAAACCTAAAATCTAGAAATTATATAATTTCTCCCTGGTATGTATGCTGTTTTAGTCATTTTGAACTGTATAATTTTTCCCAAGGCATTCTTAATATTCAGTTTTGTCAGTGTAATAAGATCCTTAAACATTAAGCTATAAACGCAACTAGCAGGCAAGGCCATGATGAAATCAAAAGCAACTTTATTTCATGCCTGCATAATTTGAAATTATCTCTAAATATCCTGAAGATTTCCTGACACATTCTTGCCATTTTCTAGAGATAATGAAATTAAGACATGCATATATTAAGATAATTAATATTGTTTGGTTCAGCAGAACAAGGATGCCTCAAGTCTAATGATTACTTTGTCTTGGAGGCACTTTCTGAATTGGGAAAAGTAATTTATACCACTCTTTGCCAGTTCAATATTAATCATAGTATTAATGATAGTATTAGCATTAATGTTTGAAGCAAAAGCTAGAATGTTCTTCTTTATTTACTTTTAAGTCTTATTTGTTTTACTTTTAATGGAAATGGGAGAAATCAAATCCCTTTGACAAAAATTCTGGGCTGCCAAAAAAAACATACAGCAGTTCAGAGAGTTCTGAGAATATTGGCCCAGTGTGGGGACTTCTAGAATTTAAAATATACCTTTGGGGCACTAAGATCCTAGCATATGAAAATTGATGCAGAACAGGGTTATCAGGGCTTTTAGTGCATATGCAGTGAAGGAAGGGACTTCTGGTCCTGTCATGCCATGGCAAATAGCCTGGATGTCTTAAAGTCTTTGTACACTGGACAATCCACACACCAGGCTGCTGTTAAGATGCACAGCCTGCACTTCAATAACCCACGAGACAGCAAACCAACCACAAAAAAAATTACCTTGATCTAACCAAAAGCTTATTAAGCACAGTATATTCCTAAATTTCCTAGTTTCATTATCAACTCTATTCTTTGCCTAGGTGTACCATTTCTAAAATGTGGAGACTTATTTTCAATGCAGATAATTGGCATATTTATTACCTTCAAAAAAAAAAATTCTTACTGATTGTGAACTGTCCTGAATTTGAAAATTACTTTTTATTTTTTATCATTTGTGACATATTTAGTGCATTTGATTCACACTGTCATAGAAGAGGATAGAGACATCTGTCAACTTTAAAAATGGTATATTTTTAAGTTGTGAATTTGTTTCTGGTTTTGGTTTGAGTTTTTGGATTGATTTGATTTTTTGTTTATTTTTTTCCTTTTTTTTTAAATTGTATTTATGTGTGATAATACTAACTAGGCTGCATTTATATTTAATTCCTAGGTGTGGTTTGCAGCATATGTTCTCAAACCTTACCCAACTGGTAGCCAGTTTGGGTGCTAAGAGCAGGATGGTTGCAACCCCAGACAGATTTTTCAGATTGAGGGAAGGGTAGTGTGCGCACACTAAGGAAACTGTGGACCAACATGAATATTGTGATGCATGCTGACATAAGGAGATACTAGCCACAGCAGCACAGAGGTCAGAGGGGCTGATTGTCCACATACTTAGCCTGCTGCTCTTACAGTAGCTGGTCCCACTGCTGGCTATACCAAAATTAGCCATCTGGGATCTCTGCATGAGCTGTAAGAACTGCTTTAGGTGTTGCTGTAGTCTTAAATGTAGAGACCTGTAACTTCATGGTAATCCTCTTCAAAATTGGATATTAGGGTACTCCAGTCAGTCAAGGTGCTGTTCAAATTGTTTGAAAGTCCTTCTCTTTCTATTTCTATGTTACCTTGGAATGAGAGGGAGAGAGGTAAGTATTACATAGCCCTGAAAAAATTGAGAAGGAGGGACTGCAATGTATACGTATCATAGAAGAAGTTGTACCTTCTGCACTGGGTGTCTGCCTTCCCACTGGTAGGGCTTAGAAGAGGATAGAGGCTTGTTCTCTGCCCTTCACTTACCAAATGTTTTTATACTTTCTCTCTAGACTGAGTATCTATCTGTTTATCTTTTCCTTTAACTTTGGTGGTGGAGCTGGTGCAAATGTGTCCAGTCTTACCTTTCAGAAACAAAAAAGCATTGCTAACATCAGGTCAAATTAGTAGAAGTTTGGAAGCCATTTTTTGCTTTCCTTATTTCATCATGAAAATTGCAATGAATACAATAATACTTGATGATGCAAATATTGCCATTTAAGAATAAGGAACAAAGTGGTGGAATACTGAAGATTAAATAGATATACATTTCACCTTATTTTTTGTCTTTTTTTGTTTAGTAGAACTCTGACACTGGCCTAAAGCCTACAAGGCTACAAGTGATTAAAAATGTGTAATTTTCCTCCATGTGTAAATCGACTGTTTTCTTCATAAAAACCACTTAGTTTTATTTCCTGTGCTAACATGACTAGTTAAAATATTTTCACAGCACTGTTATGACTGGTGACTTCAGGCTATCAAGTCAGTTTTGGTAATTGCTGGGCCCTTGAAACAAGGAGACAAGAAATAGTCCTGAGGATCAGCTAAAATCTTTACTTAAAAGCGTCTAAGAGTAGGGGCTATTTCTGATGTTTTGCCTTTGAATAAAAACAGAATCCTAAAAAAAGAATGATTTAATGCTCCTGCGATATATTATTTACTGTCCTTTTCCTGGTGCTTATGGGAATCTAAAGAGACTTTAATTTCCCTAAAATAGTAACAGATGATATCCCAATTTTCACAGGCCTAATCAGTGACCTGTTTCCAGCTCTGGATGTTACTAGGAAGAGGAACCTACAGTTTGAACAGATGGGTAAACAATCTACCCTGAAGCTTCATTTGAAGCCTGAAGAGAGCTTTATTCTCAAAGTAAAAGAATTCATTGCCTTTAATTACTCCCCTTAAGAGTTTCAATCAAAATAATTGCAAATGGGTTTGCAATTGCAAATGAAGGTTATTTTTGAATATATTACAGTATTGATAAGGTGTCCCTCAATGACTTGGTATTTCAAAGGCATTTTATCATGGTAGTAATGCTCCTCAGTATGATAAATACGCCTGTAAGAAAATATATTTTGTTCAAAAAAGCTGTGTATAGTTACAATCTAGAGAGCCAAACACGTTTGTTTGTGCTAAGTACCAAGCCTTTGTACTTGGTAGAAAATTCATTGTTGGTTAATTATTTATAGTGAGGTAAGAAGAGTGAGGGAGCAAAAAACATAAATAAGAGGGTGTGGATTTGGAATGTGCATGGCTGCATGTGACTTTTGTATGCTCAGGTATTTATGTATAATGTAATGCACATTGTGCTGCACACATTACTGGACTACTAAGAGCATATATTCCCATCTTTCTTCAGGGAACATCCACATCTACTCTATGTGATAGCACACTATTTACCTTTATTAGGGTATGTTGGAAACAGAAATAACCAGACTGGTTAAATGTGGCTGATCTCAGGATTTATACAGGATTTTATGCTCTTGTCTATCTTTTTCCATTATCCTGACAGAAGGGTGAAAGACAAAAACCTATACTTTGGGGTACTGTGAACTTTATGGTCAGCCTTCTATAGAATATTTTGTTTCCCACTAGCTGGGTGAAACAGAAACTAAGTGCTGAGGAACATGATCTTATTCCTGTTAGACTTCAGAAAATCAGTGTAAATGTTCTTCACTAAGGCAGAAATCCACAAGCACCCAACCTATTTCCATTCTGTGACTCATAGAACTATTTCTTTGGAAGAAATGTATTACTTTAGTAGATTGACCTTGTATTTTGCTGAATTATAGCTGTACAACTGTTCTGAGTGTGGAATTCACTCTGCTAAAGCAATGGCAAAATTGTAATATTGTGAATAACTGTTCTGTATGTCTGGGTGGGCACAGTCTTACTGGACTGTGTGGCTGTCTGGCAGAATAGGACTTGTTCTCACTTGTTGCAGTAACTGTTTTCATTACCTTGCACCAATTCTCTTACCATTTTCTGAGAGACAGTTTTGCTTGATGCAACATCAGCTCAGCTGAGGCAAATCTGCCAAGATGGTGCAAGTTCATTTTTTCCTATTAAAGGGAATAGGAACGTAGAGGGGGAGATGATTTTTGTGAATAATTATGTCTCTGTGATAAGTACAACAAGAGAGGAAAGGCACTCACTGTGTGTCTCTTCTGGGTGGTAGGCTGTTCAGCTGGAGGAGCTGCTGGCAGTGCATCACTCTGTGTTTGACATTGGAAATGCAGGAATTGGAAAGAGTAAGGTACCTGCCTACCTATGCAGCGTGTTTTCTATCTCACATTGTAAAAGAATTACTGTGGTTCTCGCAGAAAATGTTCTCCATGTTGCCTTTACCTTAGGCTGCAGTGTAATAACGTGCTGTTCAGGCCATTCAGTCAGTCACATGATGTGCAGTAGAAAGCTCAAATGTTACAAGCAAATTCTACATTTTACATGTTGTTCACATGTCCCAAAGGACAGTCAATCATGGCACAAAGTAATGAGTATTCAATTGCACAGATAGACTAAGTAATACTTTGTTCTGGAAGAAGAAGCAGGATGTTTTAATTAGGTTTCTAGACAGACATCAACAAGTTTATTGCCAAAACACTAGACAAATAATTCTAATACATAATGCTTGCCTGTTTCTGCTACTAACTGTTGGCAGCTGCATAGATTTTCTTCTCCATTTAACACTCTCTATTAGAATTGACTACAAAGTACAGCCATTTCAGAATGGGAATATCCTTTCTTATCCTTAGGCTTGATGGAAATTTGGGACTAAATTAGCACAGAGGCAAGAGTAAATCAAGGTGAATTTACTCTGAGTGCAGGGATTTGCAGTCAGGAATCCGGTTCAGGAAAAAGTAAAAAATTCCTATTGTATCAAAATGGTGTCACTAACATGCACCTTGTTCCTCTTCTTCACGTGCTAAAAGTTCTGCTCCACATGTATGTGAGCATGAAAGAAATACCTGTTTGGAATGATCTTAACTCAAAAGTCCTGACAACTGATGAGCTGTTTGGCTTTATACACCATGAAACCTGATAAGGGAAAGATGACAAGTGTTCTTGCTCGGACCTGTTCCTGGAGACATCATTCTCCATCCAAAATGGACAATGCCATAATTCAGAGAAGGTGTTAGCGAGAGAATTCTTGCATTTTTCTGAGTTTTGATGCAATGAAATGTGGGTGCAGAGCACAGGTGGTTCTGGAAAGACTGGAAGGCAGAGCAGGATCCTAGTAGACAGAAAAGTATTAGACTGAACAATGCTGATTCTGCTGTCTTAAAGAGTGAGTTATTTTCTCCACAGACCCAGGAAACCTCCCATATGTCACCCACCTCCTTAAGACTAATGACAGACTCTTCTGGAATTAAGAAATAGGTCATTATTGCATAAAATGCAGTCATTTTGTTATATTAAGTGTTCACTGATTTTTTTTTTTGTTTCATTGAATAACCATCTAATAAACAAGCAAAGGAAAAAGCATGGTTTTGACTCTACAAAAGCTTCATGTTTCAGTGATGCATCAAGTCTTCTGAAGTTTTAATTGCAGTGTTGTGTTGTTACTTAAGCACTGAAGTGATAAGATTCTATTGAAATAGAATCTGTCATCCCTTCTGAGAGAGTGATCCAATATTACCCATGAGGGGCCAAAAAGGTCAGTTTTAAATAGAGATATAGATCCTATGTGGACTGAGTCACTCAACACTGTTATGGATGTTAATAAAGTGAGCAATTGAGAAACAATTACAGTGGCTTCCCCTCTACCTGTTTTCCCATTTTCTTCTTCCTTTTTTTTTCTGGGGATAGTATGCAATTCTTCCATATTTTAGCACCTAATTAACGATATGTCTTGCCTATTTGGTACAACAAAAAGACTTAAAGTAGCCCATATATACACTTTAAGGGTGATTGTGCCTCCTAGAGTATGAATTGGTGTAATTCAAAATGTCAGTCGTAAGATTATTGAAACTGTTATTTGGAAAACCTCTCAGTAAAATATATTTAAGATTCCATAACTGAAGCCCTTGCATCACTATACTACAGAAGGCTAGTGTTAGGAAATATAAATAAGTCAATTGAAGAACAATAGCATCTAGACTCTTTATTCCCTTCTTATTAATTATACAGCTAAACCAGTTTTGTGGGCTGTCTGAAATGCTGTAACATAATGAAATCTGAATCTAAAATCTGACCGTAACCTTAGGAAAGTGATTGGAGTTTAGTCCATTCTCTTAAGCTTTCCTGTCTTAGGAACTTTACTCTAGTGACATGGTCTATGGTTACTCAGTTACTCAGCAAGGTGTCTGTTAGGGCGAGCCACATAACCTAACTTTAGCCAAGGAACAGAGTGTGGCTTTTTCAAGAGAAATTTTGGACCCTAAGTTTAGAGTCCTGCTCTGAATCATTTTCTGGTTATTTCCGTTGACACTGAGAGAGATTTTGCCTCTTCCGCTTTTAACTGATTTATACTGAGAAATGTAGATATAAACAAGGCATTAAAGTACATACCCCTTAGTGAGATTTTTTTGTTGTGATGCTACAAAAGTTTGAAGAGGAAAGTTCTAAAACTCTGAAAATTACTTGTCAGTGTTTTGCTTACTTGGTTTCTTGAGAAATATCTAGTCAAACTTGCCTGTTAAAGACTAAAAAAATACAGATGTCTTTACTGCTATTTAAAGTAGGTGAAGCACATGTGAAGAAACGAATTGATGTATGCATCATCCATAGGTAAAGGAGCACCTTGCATAAGCTGATGAATCAGAAGCAACATATTCTGGGAGAATGGGAAGATCTTTTTGGTCATATTAATATCTGCTTTCCTACCAGTCTTCAGAGACTTGCTGTTCTGTGGCCATACTCAGGAAGGTCTTGTCTGAAGCAAGTCATCTCTGTGATCTCACATGTGTACATACATGTACATTTAAACTAAATTTAGAAGTTTTAGGAAATAAAATATTTAGGCTGGATGTGTGGAGAGTTAGCCTTTATGAACAGCCAAACACCAGCTCAGACACTTGCTCTCTCTCCCTCCTCAGCAGGGTAGGGACGAAATAGGGTGAAAAAGCTTGTGGATCGGGATGAAGACAGTGAAATTGCTAAGCAGTAGCTCTCATGGGCAAAACAGACTTGATTTGGGGAAAATTAATTTCTTTCATTGCCAATTAAAACGCATTCAGGTAGTGAGAGAAAAGGCAAACATTAAAACAAAACCTAGTCTCAGCCTCACTACTTTACTGCTGACTCTTTTGCTCCCCCTACTCTAAGCGGCACAGGTGGATGCGGGATTATGGTCTGTGCACTGGGGTTTCTGTTTGCCACTCCTTACTTCTCACACTTTAATTTGTCCTTGTGCTGGCATGGGCTCTCTGTGGGCTACAGTCCTTCAGGACATACTCACCTGCTGCAGCATGGGGTCCTCAAGGGGCTGCAGTGTGGGTGATCATTCCAGCAGCATGGACCTCCTTCTCCTCTTCCTCCTCCACATCTGACTTTGGTGTTCTGCTGTTTCTCAGTCATTCTGCCTTCTTGAATATATTTTCTCTCAGGTAACCAGCAGTGTCCTGCAGGGGTTGTGTTTGAGCTGGGTGGAACTAGCCATGTCCAGCACAGGGACCCATAGTCTCCTGACAGAGGCCACCCTGCAGCCACCCACCTCCAACACCCTGGCACCTGAACTCAATCCAGGATGTCATCACAAAGCTACAACCGGATTTCAAAAGTTTCCTCATAGAAGAAATTGAATAAAAAATTTTAAGTAGAAATACTATGTAAAAGTAATCCAGTAAAACAATTTTTTGTAGTAATTGTGTTTGAGAATTAGAGAATGGTGTATTCTGTTTCATCACGTTTTAGAATTCAGTCCTAGCCAGAGAGAGAGACAGAAATTACTATTTGCTTTTAAAACGAAACTGTGATGTGTAAGTTTGATGGGGTTTTTTTCCATTTCAATTTTAGGCAATCTTTGTTCACACATCTGAGACTGCACATCTCCAATACTGTATTGATTTACTCATAACAAAAGGCAAACCAGTCTTACTTGTTGGAAGTGCTGGAGTAGGAAAAACAGAGTTTGTAGGCAATAGAGTTGGTGCTCTCTCTGAAGACCAACATCCCTTTCAGCTACCACCACGACATCAGAAGTGCTCCAGAACTAGCCATGTCCAGCACAGGGACCCATAGTCTCCTGACAGAGGCCACCCTGCAGCCACCCACCTCCAACACCCTGGCACCTGAACTCAATCCAGGATGTCATCACAAAGCTACAACCGGATTTCAAAAGTTTCCTCATAGAAGAAATTGAATAAAAAATTTTAAGTAGAAATACTATGTAAAAGTAATCCAGTAAAACAATTTTTTGTAGTAATTGTGTTTGAGAATTAGAGAATGGTGTGTTCTGTTTCATCACGTTTTAGAATTCAGTCCTAGCCAGAGAGAGACAGAAATTACTATTTGCTTTTAAAACGAAACTGTGATGTGTAAGTGTTTGATGGGGGTTTTTTTCCATTTCAATTTTAGGCAATCTTTGTTCACACATCTGAGACTGCACATCTCCAATACTGTATTGATTTACTCATAACAAAAGGCAAACCAGTCTTGCTTGTTGGAAGTGCTGGAGTAGGAAAAACAGAGTTTGTAGGCAATAGAGTTGGTGCTCTCTCTGAAGACCAACATCCCTTTCAGCTACCACCATGACATCAGAAGTGCTCCAGAGTAAGTTCCATACAGATGCCAGAAACTTATCTTCCCTCAACAACAAAGATAAAAAACATTCCACAGTTATTATGGTCTCATCACAGCCGCTGGCTACTGCTGTTGTCTGGGCATTGGCAAGTTCATTGCTTTGAAAACTTTGAAATATGTGACAGGAAAGAGGGAAGGAGAAGGATGAAACTGTTTGGAGCAAACTGGAAATGACACTGTGCTCCCACAAGTTGCTTACTCATTGTGGACCAGAGAAAATTTGACTTTGCCTATGTTCACAAGAAGCCTTGAGCCAGCTTTGTTTAGCCTGGGTGTCTCTGCACGGTGCCTGTAGATGTACCAAAAAGGACAGTCAGGAGCTGGGCTTGCTTTGCTAGGCACCATACAATACCCAAGGAGAGCCAATCCCTGACTGGTGACCTTTGGAGTCTCCATAGGTGAGATGGATGCAGATCAAAGTAAACGTTAATAGAATGCACCAGTGGAGGAAGCTGTATGTTGGTAGATTTTGGAACAGGAGGAGTCAGACAGTCAAAGCAAAATAGGCTTATGAAAGCTCTGTGTCTCTTTTGCCCTTCCTGAACAGAATAATCAAGGGAGAGCCCAGCTGTCAATGGATATGCACTCTTTGCCTTCCTTTTTATTTTTAACCCTTCCAGTAACTTGAACTGATACAACTATACAGAAAAAATTATGTACCCTCTTCACTGTACAGCTTTTCATAGCATTAAAAGCACTAGAGAAATAAGTTAACACACTGGTTTGTCCTCTCATATATCTGGGAGAGTATTCTGAAAACAATTTTTCACTTTTATAAACTTTCCAAAATTTTAGAAGTCTTCAGATAAAATCTTTAGAAACATTTGTGTTTGCTTGATGTGTAATTTAACTGATTTTTCAATCAATTGTCTAATTTTTAGCCAACCTACATTGCTGCTAGTAGATCAAATTTTCACCAGGCTTAAAAAATACGTATAAATCCAAAAATTTTAATTGAATAAGTTTTTACCCTGTTTTTTCTTTCAAGTCTTGTGTTAATGTCTTCTGTATTCAGATCAGATAAGCAAAGACCATTTTCAGTCTACCCTGTACCTCAGTTTATTCTTTGAAGTGTTTCCAAATTCACATTAACATAGAAACCTGCATTAATAAAACCTAATCACCCTTTTGCCCTTCAAAATGAAGAAGAGATTAGGAGAAATCTGCTGCATGTCAGAGTGAGATCATGAGCTGTTGTAAACTGTCATAGCTCCTTTAATGGGGAATCAGCCTTAAAAGGCTTTCAGAAATTCCTCTGATCAGAGAGGTTTTTTTCAGCTAATGATGCCATTTCAGTAGCAACCATGACCATGGCACTAGAGTACAAAAGCATACTTTCCATTGCAAATAGAAGCTGATAAAAGGAGCTCCTGGGCACCAAATGTGTATTCTTCTTGCAGGAAACTTCTTAAATAAACCAAAGATGTGAAGTCAGTGTCGCAGGGGCTTACTCTGCAAGTGTATCACACCCATCAACTGTCTTGTGACGTAAACCAATTTATGAACCTTTAAGGGTTTGCTTTGAAATGTTAGTAGTATCCTTTCATATTTTAAGTCAGTGTTGTAAAACTTCCACCTGTTCCTTCTAAGAAAATTCAAGACACGAACAAAGAAGCGGACTCATCTGGTTGTCTGCAGCTCTTCCTTCTGTCTGCTGCTCTTCAGCCAAGCCCCTCTTGTTAAATGCTCTGCTAGCAAATCCCTCCACTAATCACAGTGGGTGAAGAACTGCATGACAATCCAGAAACAAGTATATTGTGTTCGCTTTCCGTTGTGTTTACCACATTTTTTTCTGTGAGCTGTGATGGAACAATTTTGTACTCTCATGTATAGCTCAAAATGACTGCCTCTTATGTTATTTTTATGTTTGTGTGTACAAATGCTCCTTCCTGTAAAATGCATTCAAGTGATACACCGAAATGCCTTCATATGTCTTAGGCTATCACTCCAAGCAATTCTTTGGAACAGTCAAATTGGGAATTTTTTTAGTAGAAAGAGTCATTCACAGCAAATTACACAAATGAGCACTTTAAATTAAGTCTCAGTTCATAAATAAGAGATTAAGAGCTGAACTTGAAGTGCAGTTATTCACTACATTGCCATGTTCTTTCCATAGTTTAGAGGTTAAAAGATTTTTCTTGCAGATCATATCACTGTTAATGTGCAGTCTTTTCTGTCAGTTCCCATCTTATGTGTATCCACATAAATTTTTTTGAGGTGTCTGCTAGAGTGGGTGAGATTAGCATGTAGTGTAGGGTTTTATTTAGCATTTCCCCAAGGCATATGACTCACCCGCTCTGCCTCTAGAACAGCAGAAAATTTCAAAATGTTAGTTGATGGAGGAACATTCTGATGCAAACTAATATTAGTACATTAGATCTGGGGTCTTCAATAATACTAAAGTCTGGAACACTGCCACAGAGAACAAAAATGTGTAAATGTTTATAGATTGTAATTGTGGACACTGTATAAAATTTAGATAAGGTTAAGGATCAAAAATGAGAATTCCTAATTTGGGGTTTAAAAGTACAAGTATATACCAAGCTAAAAGAACAAAATTGTCTTTTACCTAAGATTTGAAGGGAATTAAGAGACTTTAAACCTATCATATGCAAATAGTTTCTGCAAAAAGTTTTTTCTCTTCTGTGGTAGAAAGGCAGGGTAAGTGCAGTCATGGCCTTTTCCCCCCAAAATTTATGATCATCCAGTTGCAAATATGTTAAGGTTCTCCATTTCTGTCCTGTCCTCCAGCACACTTTCTTTCTTTATCTACTTACTCCTCCAGTCAGTGACCACGCTTTAAGGTGAATGTGGCTAGACAGAAGTGTCCTTGGATGCATTTTTTACCTTGGTTGAATTGGCCAGTCAAAATCACTGTCGAGGTTTGCAGATGATTAATTTCACTGAAAAATCTAAGATGACAACTCAATACTTCTGTAGTCCTAATGGAAACTGCTTGCAGTTATGTATTTGTTTATACTGCTTTGCCTAAGAAACCAAAAAGTCTGCTGCAAGTCAGAACTGTGGCAGTGCTGTGACATACAGCCTTCAGCTGTCCCTGTGCAAGTGCAGTTTCCATTTCCTACAAGCTCTGGTGACCATGTTGCCCAGTTTTTAAAGAAACAAGACAAGTTCAAAACCATACACTTATATTTTGCTCTTTTTCTTTTTTTTTTCTTTTTTTCTTTTGCCTAACCCAAAGTATTTAACATACAACCCAATACAATGGAAAAAAAAGAAATGTCTGTTTTTTCCTATTCTACTTATTATACATGGAACTGTTAATCCTTTTTTTCTTTTTCTTCCTCACACTCCTTTCTTATTGAAAAATATTAAAGTCTTAAAAAATGTGGCTTTGATCATCTCAAAATCGATATCAGGTGTATCCCAAATTCATGATATTATTGACTAGACAAAATAAAAAATCTGGGTTAGATGCACAGAACTTTTGAGAAATCTTTTTCCTCTTGCCAAGCAGTATTGAGTCTGCATGAAAATCTCTCCTGTGCTGTAAGGATTTGAACCACTGTATTCCCTAAATTTTTCATAACCCCCTTTACTTCAAATCTCAGCTCTGAATGAGGCAGACAAAACCTTGGAATTTAGCGTGCTCACTGAAGATGAGAGCTCAGTCACTGGGACATGCTGAAAAGTTTTCCTTGAAGTCCACCAATCACAGTGGTTTTATTTTGAAAAAACATTTATGTGATCATTTAAACAACAAAAATATATGACCTCGGAACGCCTCATACTGAAGATGAGTGATATACTAATGCTTAATAAAAGTTGTTTGCTTCTGTGTTTTCGAGATGACTTAACAGCTTTCTGTAGTTATTCTTTCCCTTACACATCTAAGGGAAGCGATGCAATTGATAAAAACTTTATGAACTCAAAATTTGTCTCAAGATTTTACAGTTCTGATGAATATGTAAGGGTCTTTAAATTAATTTGTTGAGTGTTGTAATAAGTTTGTAACCTGAAGGTCTGCATTCAGGATCATGTAAGTAACTCATTTGGAGTAATAGGCTGAAATTTAATACAATCAGCTTAATTTTCCTTAGTATGGGAGATGCTGCACCAGATTCCTGATTAAATGCCCTGATCAAATGCGATTTATAATTCATATTTTCACACTTCACATATTTTGGCAAAGTCCTTGTTTAATCCTTCCAAGGAGAAGGAGAAAATAATCTACTCACTGATGAACTGAGTGTCAGGATACCAAGGGATTTCACATTCAAAGCATTTCAGTTTCAAAGGATGCAGATGGATATGCAATGACATTTTCAAAAGCTGCAAAGTAGTCAATCAACTAAATCAACAATACTCTTCTGGAATTCAGAACCCCATGGTGATGCTTTCTTGAAGACAACCTCTGAGTTTCACTGATTACCAGGGACTTCAGTGGTTAAAAAAACCACTTGTAGGTGATGAAATGTTTCACAAATTTTATCCAGCATGATTTGGAATTCTTGATTTTGTTTAGTTTCAGTATTGCTTCATATGGTAATAATTTTTATGCATGTTGTGTTACATTTCAGAGTTGTTTGGAATTCCAGTTTGCCAGATGTTTAACCTATACCACCCTCTATCTTTTGTTCGCCGTGTAAAGGCAACAGACAAAATCCATAAAAACTTAATGCTACTGGTCCAAATGAATGGACTTTCTCTGCCATGAGAACAAAAACACAGAAGATGGCCATTGAAGTATAATTAAGTTGATTTGGGCAAATAAGGTTCTTCTTAGTTTCCAAATGATAATTTTTTAGTATTTAAAATATATTAGCATCCTTTCACCAGATCTGTGTAAAAATAAAGTTTTAAGTTTAAAATCAACTTACTAGTATTTTATTTCATTCTGTTACAGAGGGAACCAATATTTTCTGTAAATAATTCATTGCTGTCATAAATACATATTAGATTCTTGTTTATTTACAAGTACACCATTTTTTTGTAACATGAAGAAAATATGTGACTAACAAAGATATGATTTGGTGAATGGTCTGGTAAGTAAAGAAGTTTCCAGACATTTAAAAGCGAGTTAAGTACACATAGCTGTCTTTCTGTGTATTGTCAAAAGGAGGTGCACAGACAAATAGGCAGGCATTCCACTCCATTAGGAGGCTGAGTGTTGAGTTCTCTGAGTACTCAGTTCTCTGCTTCTTCACCATGTATTCAAGGGTTTTATCCACACCCTTAAAACTTCTGTTTCATGGAATGTTCTTTTTTTCACTGGCATGTACACTGTGATCTGACTGCAGTTGTGACAAAGTGAGGCAATAACATCTGTACTGTTCTTGCATCTTTTAGTGCAAATGAATTGTATAAGCTTTTTCTGTAGATCATACTTCATCCCATGAAGGAATGACACCAGGTGTCAGCTGAATATCTTGTTAAGGCACAAGACGTAAAGACAAAAAAAAGGAAGTGACTGCTCAAATCTGAAACATCTTTAGCTTGGAGAAATCAATCTAGTCTAATTCAGAGACATGCAAAGCTAACGTCTCAATGCTCTACTGTTTTATTCCCAGAGCTAGATGCTATTTGAGCATTTTTTTGAAGTCTCAAACAAAAAAAACCTTCAAAAACCTTTGGTTTTCTCAGAAAGATTTCAGAGTCAGATCTCAAAATTCCTACTGCTTAAAAGATACGATACTTCTTTCTTTTGAATTGTTTTAAATTCTTTTGAAACAAAACCAAACCAAAAGCTAAAAAACTCAATTTTACCAAACAAATCAAATTAGGAAAAAAAGCTGACCATACCATTCAGGAAAATGAACCTAACCATTTAAGAATTCTAAAATAGAGTAAAATTTGTTGCATGGGAGGAAAGAGAATGCATTATACTTTGAAGTTCTAGGAATGATTTGTTGATTTAAGAAGGGAATGGCAATTTATGACTTTCCTTTTACAGTGTTTTTTTACATCCTTGGCCTAGCTCAGATGTACACCAACTTCTAAAGAAACAAGACTCTTCATATTTAGACAATTGGAACACAAACTGCCAGCAATTCAAAGCCTCTTTTTTTTAATTTTACCTTTTAAGTGACCTCCTTTTACTTCACCTGGAGCTATGTCATCTGAAGAGCCAGAAACAGTATCTATTGGATGATACTGCAAATAAAGGAGCGTACCACCTCATACTCTAGGATGATCTTTGATGGTTTTTTAATTATTGAGATCTGTAAACTTTTTCTGCTCTTATCTGTGATGATTGTGTGCATTCTCAAACTGATTTGTACTTCCTGTGACTCATCCAAGTGTGTTTGGAGCCAGTTTTATTTAAAAAAAATCTTTATCATCAGAATGTTTTGTGAGAAAGTAATACCTTAATTGCAACAGAAATTTTGAACAAAATATTATGTGATAGAAATTTTTGGGATTATTCTTAATTTTGAAATGTCAATCCTATTTTGATACTTCCATGGCTATTTGTGTCTCAGATTTCTCACAGTACAGAAATTATTCTTGAACTGAGTTTAAGCCTGGAAATGTACAGCATTTCAGTGTTTTGTCACTAATATTAATCATTTTCTTTCTCAGGTATGATAGGCAGAAGCTAACTACTAAAGAAATTCATAGTTGTCAATATGTTGCTCATATGAATCCAACTGCTGGCAGCTTTACTATCAAACCTAGGCTCCAGGTATGTTTTGAAGTGTCATATTATAGCAATCCTGTATTTAATACATGAAATAATTACTATTTAGTTTTTCACTACAATAGGTAGGAGATGAAAGGAAATAGGAGAAAATGCAGTGTTTGAAATTTAGTACAGATTCAAAATCTTGCTGTTTCTATAGCTAAACAGAAAGAGACACACCATATTTATTATGGTATTAAGAGTCCCCTGAATTTCTTAGCAATTGCAGTCTCATGTGGGCCTTCACCTGGCAGATGTGTCCTTGGGGCTCATAACCAGACATGCAACTGCTGTGGAACTGCATCAAGGATGAAACTAGAATTTAAGTCTTTTTTGTGATACACAAGCAGATTTACGTTCACCAGGTTGTATTGTTATTTAACACTTCGTTGACTCTTATTTGCTGTCTGATGCTGGAGAATCTTCATCTCTTTTTCCCTTTTTATTTCCAGAGACATTTTACAGTATTTGCTTCAACTTCCTTTCTTATTGACTCTAAGACTAGCTCAGTTGGTTAGAGCCTGGTGCAAATAATGACAAGGTTAGAGCCTGGTGCAAATAATGCCAAGGTTTGGGGTTCAATCCTTGTATAGGCCATTCACTTAAGAGTTGGACTTGATGCACCTACTTTTAGTCTTTCAGTGCAGAGTGTGTGGGTACAGCAGTCACTACGTTATTGTACTGTTTTTTCTTGAGAACATTTTTCATGTTCTCCTTTTGGGGAATTTTTTAACTATCATTTTTCTCTCTAACTATGTGGTAGAATGTGGAAGACCAAGTGTAGCTGCAGCCTTGGCTCATCTATTGCCATTTTTCAAATGCAGAGCAGACCCTTGTTGCGAGCCAGTGAAAGCACGGGAACTGCTGAGTAATATGCTTCCTAGGAACTCCTCAGGCTACAATAAACTGCATGCCTCTATGCACCTAGTCTTGTTTGAGGGTGCCATGCAGCATGTGTAAGCAGAATACCATCTATAAAGGGAGCAAGTAATTCATCAAGATGCTACCAATGTTTGCATGAAGTTGCTTTTTACTGTTCAGAAGTTGTTGCAGTGCAGACTCATAATGCTCTTACTGGAAGGCTTATGCAGGGAACTATGCAGCAATAGTGCAGATAAATACACTTTATTGATGATGTTATAGAAGAGTAGATTGTAGCTCAGTGTTAAAACTAACCTCCATTTTGTTTATTTAAACAGGCGTTCACCCTTTTTTGCACTCTATAGAAATTTACACCACTTATTTTCTGAGGTTGGAAAGACAGTCTATAAAGCTGTAGACTAAGTCTGCCTGTACGGAGGCAGCGTTGATGGAAGCGTTCTAAGAGACGCAGGTGGTGGCGGTAGATGACCCATGATTCAGATCCATATAAGAGAGTAGACAACACTATGGCTTTGTAAACACTGATCTTGGTGCTTTTCTTCAAGTGTTTATTACGCCATACTCTTTTATGGAGTTTTCCAAAAGCACTATATGCCTTTGCTAATCTGTTGTCTATCTCTCCGTCAATCTTACCATCTGAGGAGATGAGGCTACCGAGGTAATTAAACTGTTGGACTGATTTGAGCTCTGATTGACCAATGGTACAATTCTAAACATCCACTGGTCAGACTATGTGACCAATACATCTGTTCTAGAGCAAGCAGCTATCACAAGTATCGAGGCCATGCTGATGAGAACACAGCTGCGTTGGGCAGGTCATGTCTCCAGGATGAAGGACCACCGCCTCCCTAAGATCTTGCTTTACGGTGAACTTGCCACTGGCTGCCGCATGAGAGGAGCCCCGAAGAAAAGATACAAGGACTCCCTGAAACAACATCTCAACCTTGGCCATATTGATCACCATAACTGGTCTACTCTGGCATCAAATCGGGAGGCCTGGAGACACACCATCTATAACACTGCTGTCTCCTTTGAGAACACACGCAGGATCACCCTCGAGGAAAAAAGGCAACGCAGAAAGAACCGTGTATTGCAGAATACACCATCTAAGGAGTCTTTCTGCTGTGCCTTTTGCAATCGGATTTGTCTGTCACGTATTGGCCTAATAAGCCACCAGCGTGCCTGCAGCAAATGTGGATAGAGCCTTCCCAAATCTTCGTTCGCGAAGCCTAGCCATGATGATGATGATGAAGTCTGCCTTATCTTTTAAGTAGTTAATGATGTAACAGGCCTTTATAAGAAAACCAATATTTACCTTTTGTTTCCAGGAAAGGGAAAATGCTTTTAAAATGAGATTAATTCAAAACAAGGACAAGTAATACCTTAAGCATATACTAACCTATGCCCCTGCATGGCAGACTTGAAGTTGCTTTGCTGCCCAGCCTTGTATTTTTTTAAATGTAATCGAAGCAAGACTTCTAAGTGTCATCATAGATTTATTTTATTTATCTGTAGCTTTTTTTCGTAGGTAGGTTGACCTTATTTCAGTTTAATGTTATTTGTTTTTCTTATGTCAGGATATATCTTAGTACCCATTATGGCCCAAAATCTCAGCTTCTGTTTCTGAAATCTGATTAACTGCATTTGCTTTGTTTTCCTTCATGGAAAAAAACCAGCCAGTTTTCAGAAGACAAAGTGAAGATTTTACTGAGTAAGTGAGGCACAGAGTTCATCGTTGCTCCTTGTCATTATTTGTAATCTTTCTTGAACATATGCAGTCATTCTAGTCATGCGTAATATCGGTGATTTCCAGAAAGAGACAGAGGCCCATGCTGGCAGAGATTAGTTTTGTTAAAGCAGTTTCTATTATTTGCAGTGTCAAACGGTTTAACACACAAACTTTTCTTCTCATTGAGTTGGTCTAGGATTTCAGTGTCATCGTTTTTCACTTTGCACGTAATCAGGCAGGAGCTATGTAAGAGAAGACACTCTTGACTAAGCAGTCTATTGTAGAAGTTTCTCTCCAAGAGGATTAAAGAAACGCTTAAATTACACAGATAATCATATGGATCTTTCATAGGGACTGTAGATTTTGTTAGGTTGATTTAGAGGTTGATGTGATAATCATCAGAATTGCAGACAGAAGCCTTCTCAGGTATCACTAGTTTTGCTTGAAAATGGTGGTAAGCCATTATCTTCTCTCTGAAGTCTAGTGACCGAGAGTAGTATCTGTTTGCCAAATAAAGTGGCAGGGTGTCTTAGCCGTACAATTTGGCAGTCCTGGAAAAGTGATTGTGAAATTTAAACCTGTAAATTTTTTCTGCACCTTTTATGGGTTTTTTTTTTATGGATCCATTGTGAAATCATGAATAAGACTGATAAAGTTCTACAGTGAAGTCAAAGAGAATTGGCTTCCAGTAATGTTTTGGTTGAACACGTTTCTACCTCTTTATTAGATGCAACCAGATTAGACACATTATCCCTTTTATTTAAGAAGGTTCTTATCAATGTTTTTTCAGGGGTTACTTTTTTCGGTGGCATGAGACACAGAGAATGAAGGGGATGCTTTTTGGTTTGTTTTATTTATACATGAAAATAAATTAAGCATAAAGTCCAACTTGCTGCCTCTAAGATCTAATCTGCTGAATTAGACTTTCATGCCTTAGAATCTGTATCTGATTTTAAAAAAATAAAAATTTGTGAATATTTTTAGTTGCTTTTATGAATTATTAAAATATCAATTGCAAGAGAATTCTTTTAATGTCTAAAATATAGTTTTTTGGGGGAAGGATTACCTCAGTACACACATTTAAAAATTTTAGAAATTAAATCTTGTCTGATTTGGGGGAAAATTCTTATCTGGCCTCATTCATCCTATAGTATTCCATGATCAGCAAATAAAAACATGCTTTAAATAGTCTGGACTAGATATTCCAAAAGTAAATTGAAGTTTGATGAAAATTTTTCATTAGGTGATTTCTTGTCCTTCAGCCTTTGTGGTGCAAACTGCCAGACATGAAATTCTCATGTACTTCTATGGTCCAGCCAACCTCCCTTCAAATTAACTAGGTCTCTGTTCTGAGTCCAGTCAGGGCCCATCAGGATCTTGGGGTGATGCTTTGAAGCAACTCAATGTAAAGAACAAGCAATCAGACAGCTCTGGTCACTGTAGAGGTTAGTGCAGACCTTCAATATTTGACAAAGGAAAAGAACTTTTCTTTCCTCTTACTCAAATATTGGAAAGAAATAAAATGCTGGCATGAAGGTAATGTACCTTTAAGTGTCGGGAGAAGATTACCTCAAAAATAGACAAAAAAAAAGAATGAAAAAAAGAAAAAAGCAAGTGTGATGCAATAAAAAGAAACTTAGAAACTTGACTAAGGATGTTGTTGTTGAAGTCTACATTACTTTATTGGTGTTCTGCCATCAGGTGCCAAATCACTCATTTCCTAGAATTCCCTAGGGGTTATGCACTTCTGATTGGAGTAGGTGGTAAACTGAGCTTGTCAAGGCTGGCAGCATACATCTGCTCCCTAGAGCTTTTCCAAATCACACAGAAGAAAGATTATGGGATGCAGGACCTCAGGGTAAACTGATAGATATTATTTGAACCTTTTGAGTTCACTGCTTCAAGAATGTGTTTTGTTGTTGCACAGGCTTGATAAAATCACAGGTGAAACAGTAGAATTTACAGTAACAACCCCTTTGGTTTTTCCAGCTGGACCTCTTGTTTTCTTTATTTTTGAAAAATGGGTGGGCAAAATGTATTTTAATGTCTGTTTAAACGCTTCACAGAATTTTGGTAGTTTCTCCACTTTTTCCAAGGTGGCTGCTTCACAGGTCACAAAGATGTGGTTGGAGTTCTGGTAGTTAGCAGTTTGTTACAAATTTTTGCGCATCATTGAACCCCTATTGATTTAGGGGTATAAAATTGAAGTGGGTGAACACAAGAAGAAATGTTCTCCTTGTCATATGTTGTCATTTAGTCACTTAAACTGTCCATATGCAAAGGCAAGGACTGTAGTTGAGTGAAGTGCTCTTATCAGGTTTACTGTCTACCTGTGCCCTATCTGTGTGAGCAAACAGCGAAGAAAGGAACATTTTCTTCCTCTTTACTCCGTGTGGACAACAAACAATAGTTCCGAATCTCAGACTTGGCCAAATAACAATCCAATTATGGTCAGATTTGGTGGATGGCTGTCCCCAAAAAGCCCTTCTGTTAGCCTTGGGCCATGGCCAAACCACCACAGTGTGTGCAGACCAAGGCTTTTTAAGCCTTTGGCGTTCAGAGGGAGGTACATGCCGTTCTGCTTTGAAAAATGCTGTGTGTTTTTTAGTGTCCTCATGGTGTTTAACTTCTTGTGCCCTCCTTCCCTCCTCAAATGAGGTGCAGTGTAAGATGTGGGCTTAAGTGGTCATTTCCCCCATGCTGTTTCCAAGCAGGGAAACTTCTAAGCCTCTGTTAACAAGCCTGAGGATTTGCTTTGCTAGGTTGTGTGGCAGCTTGTTCATAACAGCCAGCATTAACCTTATCCTGTATTTCAAATGTGACTGCACTCAAATGCAACTGATGTGGGTTGTTTTCTTTCTGGAAACCCAAGCCAAAAAGCATTCCATATTTGTACCACTATTAGCACAATGGTCCCAACCATGTCTCCATCTGGGCCATAGCCAAAATAATAGTGCACCAGAGCACACCTCAGTTTTATTGGTTTGGTGTTTTTTTCACATGGGAAAGCCTTCCTAAATAAATTCACTAAAGAAAAAAACAAGTTTTCAGAGACAACAGAATTTAAAATTAATCTGGATCTTCAATGCAATTCCCAGACATTATTGGTATAGTCATGTCTGTTCTTGATGGGGACTTTCATGGCTGCAATATCTCTTTCTGATGAGAGGATTTCTTTGATCTTAACCACTAGGTCATGTCAAAATGTCCGTGTTTGATATGGAAGAAAAACACAAACTGCATCTCCCTTTGGATATTATGTAGCAAATTAGCAACATGTAAATAAAGCGAGAAAAGTAAAGAGAGGTCAGCAGTGTGCTGCCATCTGCTAACATGCATTCCACACTTTTCCTGTATCAACATTGTAACAGATTATGAGTGATTGCCTCCTTTCCTTACAGGTAGGTCTTGCCAGTTTGTACATCAAGACTGGTGCCAAGAACATGCCAACAGTGTTTTTGCTGACAGATGCCCAAGTTCCAGATGAACGCTTTTTTGTGCTGATTAATGGCTTGTTGGCATCAGGTGATTAAACCAACACATTTCTTGAAAGATCTTTTCCGATGACAAATGATCTGTGTTTTCATTGAACTTTAAAGAGATTATTTCTCTCTCAGGTATTTGTAGGGAGAGCTTTTAGGGAGGCCAAGTCAACCCATACAACTTGAGCATTGAATCTAACTTGCTTAAGAAAGAATTGCCCACTGAGAAGATAAATTGCTGAAGCTAATCATGCCTAAGTACATTGGTTTGGGGAGAAATGGAAATCTCTTTTTGACTTAATGCTATGTTTACTTTGGTGTGATTTCACTAAGTTCAAGCACTGTCTTCATGACTGCACAAGAGTAACATGCAGCAATGCAGTTTTGCCCATGTTTTGAAGATTAGAGAAACTGGATTCTGAATGTGGGGATCTAGGGATAGAATGGAAGAAAAAATGAGAATAATATTCAGCACAGTTGGAGTGCATCTTGAAAGATTTTTTAAAAAGTTACTATTTACTTTTGCAACCAGACTTATAAACAATTCACTGACAGCCTGAAAAAAGGGAACCACTATTCTGAGGCATACATAATTTATGAGTGAACTTCCTATCAGGGCAAATACTTTGTCATTTAAAAAAAATGTCATTTCCTTTCCCTTAAAGAAATAGAAAAACTTCTTTTTAGACAAAAAGGCATAGGGAACAGGAGGAGACTCTTTTGTGACTGGATCTATCTGGTACCAGCATAGCTCTAGTTATGTGCTTAAACCCCACTGGGCTAAATACCATGTAGATTATTTGTCATGTGTTGTGTAAGGCTTCTTTTACCTACTCCTTTATCTTTTCACAGGAGAGCTTCCAGATCTGTTCGGTGATGAAGGCTTGAAGGTCATAGTTGCAGGAGTTAGAAAAAGTCTGAGCCCTGGGCCTGATGGACACCAGAGAGCACTGCTGGAGGTTCGTCTTGAATAGTGGCTGCAGTTGAAAGTAAGGCATATTTCAGGGGCAAGAAACAGTCATGAGCTGATCAAAATAGCAACATACTTCAGTTATCTCACAACCCAGCATATGGTGGCATACTTCTCTTGAAAGCTTGCTCACTGACGTGTGGCACTGAATTTGCCTCTCTCATGTTACCCCTGTAATTTGCCTCCCTGTGAGTTTTACTCCTAGATCTGGCCATTGACATCCTACCTTTCATAGGAAAGTCACATAACTGCTCTGTGTCTTAGTTTCATGGTCTTATGTCTTGAACACAATGATGCACTTCAGAGAGAAGTGAGGTGCTGATGAGGAGTTAGTGCTGCTGTTAACACAATTATAAATATGTTCCCTAATTACACATGCAGTGATTCTGTATGTGTACTCAACTCTTAAACATTCCCACAAATAATTGAAATTTCACAGAAAATGTTGTCGTTCTACTTTTTCTACACCATTTAAAACTGGAAAAATAAAAATACCCATGTATCTTTTAAACCTGTAGTTTTCAGGTTTAAAACTGTTTAGTGATTCACATTAATATGATACCACAATTGCAACAAGTGTCTCTCCTAAGCTCTGTTTAAGAGACAATGTTGTTGAGGAAGACTGTAATTCTGTCCTGAAAGCAGAAGTGGGAAAAACTGGTTTTGGAGTAGCATCTTTAGGAACTTTCAGTTTATGTAGGCTTCCATTTCACACATCATCTGAAACATCTGTGTAGCTTATAAGAAAATGAGAAGTCTAAAAACCATTGACCAGCTAAAAAGAGAATGTTTTGAAAGGAATATATGCCCCATACTTTGTGCATTAGTATGATCTATTTGATTTGGGATGAGAAGAGCCTTCCCATAGCAGATTATTCTACAGTGGTTTTCTGTGCAAGCTTTTTTCTTCATTTTCTGAAATGTTTAACCACGACTGATCTAAAGACCATTCAGATTTGATTATGAGTTTTTTATCAAGTTCTTACACTTTGATTATGAGTTTTGTATCGAGTTCTTACACTTTATAACATACCACTTTCTCTTTTTTCCACCCTCATCTATTCTTTTTCCAATTCTGCTTTAGTTTTGCTGATGTTCTCTCCTGTCTCTAACTCTACTGCCATTACTTCTGTCCCTCCACAAATTTATTCTTTAAGTTAAAGGTTGGTGGAGACCTGTATGGAATCTAGTGTAACATATTCTGTATTGTTTTCACTCTTACAGACTTAAATAACATGGTCAATAGTGGTGCTTACCTTCTGCATATCTCTTTCTGAAAGTGCTGTTTGTCTCTGTTTCATGACTATTGTGTTTGTGTATGTTTTTTTAAGAAGGACAGAGGAAAAATTATTTCTAATATCTCTCTCAATTTTCTCTTTTCACATTTTTTCCTTTTTCTTTTTTCTTGTTCCTACAGTCATTTCTTCATTTATTTTCCTTTTCTTTTTTCATTTTAAGGGCCTTTTGAAAGGCAGCTTTCAAACGCCTTTTACCTTGCAACCATTTCACCAGTCCCCCACTGTGCAAATTAGCACTACTGGAGGCAAGAACAGGAGATATCTATTCATGTTGCAGAGAAGGAAAGTAGAGACATTGTAGTACTGAAGGAGACATAAATTTTATGAGTTAACACACTGGCTAATACCTATATGAACTTTTAGTTAGTGCTGGGTGACCTATCACCTCTTCCTTTTCCTATATTTGAGGAATAAAAGACTAATATAATGTGAAAGAGAGCAGAAGGGACAATTTAGACTGTTTTATAATGTTAAAGCTCAGTGAAGTGATATAGTCTCATTTTTCAATTGTATTTTAGAAAAATACATGATTCCTACATGAAGCCACAATTCCCTTGTGCCCACTTACAGTCTTACATACTGCAGTTCTGTTTATGGTGAGGAATCTGTCACTCAGGAACCAATACTACCCAGTACTATTCTTTGAATCACCATAGCTCTTCTGGTTTGTGTTGATTTTGTTTTGACTGTTTTCAATCTGGACCTTGCAATCCATTCTGCTGCTAATGTACTGAGAACATGTCATGTACGTAGGTGCAAATTTAAATTGAAAGTATGTCAGGTGAAGACAGTGGGTTGCACTTTTATAAAATATGGGTCCACAACTGGAAGGGTATGTGAGGACATACATGCACCTGAGAATTTCAAAAACTTTCATGATGAATCATGAAATAAATGATAAAGGAAGAATGCTGCTCAAGAAAAGAAATTTGATGGTCAAACACTGTAAAAGTTAATGTGCTGACAGTGCTAAGGCACACATAAGATAAGAGGTTTCTAAGGCTCAGTAATTTACTGGAGCTCCAGAAGTTTTTCAATATCTCAAATCTCTATGCAGTAATCACTCTTAAATCCTCTGCACGTTACCAAAATTTCTTGAAAAAGTAAGGACCAGAAGAAGCAATTATTTCTTGAAAGCATGGATATGAGATCAGTCAGTCATGCTGTCTCTTGAGATGCATCTGATTTTATTTCATTCTTTTGGTCATGGTAACCTTTCAACTTTTCCCCAGAAATGTGAACATCATGCCTAAATGCCTTGCAGCCCTCATGCCCTACATAAACATGCTCTCAAGTGTACTCTTTCCAGCAAGCATACTCTTTGTGTCATTTCATATTTGCATGTTTTTAAAGTTCTCATCTCAGTTTCCTCAGTGCTCTTAAACATTACTGTATATTCTAAAGCCAGACATGTTAAATTGGGGTTTTTTTTAAGCTGAATCTCTGTTATTCAGTCCAAGTGCAGCCAGTTTTCTTCATGAGCTGCTGGTCTACTACAAATACTTGCTCCTCCTTCCTTGAACAAGTTTCTTCATTGTGTATTTTCCTCATGTTTCAAAGTTTGCAGTCCCTCAGTGACTGTTGTGAAGTCCCAGCATTAAGAACTAAATTTGCTAGTTTCAGGGGAAGACCATTTCTCCAATTTCCTTCCAACTTGGCATGACTGCTTTAGTCATCACATCTTTATAATGGTCTTCTCTTTCTGTAGTCCTGTCAGGATTTAGCTGGCTCCCCATTTTCTATGGCATTTAGCAGTACAGTAGTTTCATGCTTTAGTCCAGATTAATGTCAAACATAGGCAGAGTGGGTGTCCTGCGTTGCCACAGGCAATCTTGTCCATATTTTTACTATTACTTTTCTTTTAAATTATTGTCTTTCATTTCCACATCCTCTTTTATTAGGACACATTAGCCTTTTCCTTGCAGTCTGCTTGACCACTGATAGAACATCTATTTTTATCTGTGAATCTGAGAGGAACTTGTGAAGGCACATCATAGCTCAGCTTTTGGCCAGCTCTCATGGTTTTTTCTTTTGAGGGCATAAATACACATGTCTATCAGCTTGACTGCTTTAATCCCAGACAAAAAGAACTATGTTTTTAGGGTTTCTGATTCTGTGTTAAACTAATAGTGACCCCAGATTTTTTTTCATTTTTAGAGTTGTTTTTGTTTGTTTGTTTGTTTGGGTTTGGGTTTTTTTTTCATTTTGTTTGATTCAGTGGGGAGTAACTATCGAAGATTTTCTGCAGCACATAAAACATCTGTTTCTGCAGTTGGCAGGCTCTTACAGTAAGAGTTCCTGTTTCTCTATGAAAACCTCCAGGCTTTTCTATTTGGATGTCAGCCATCTCTTCTTGAGTACTCAGAGAGCTGACTTTCAAGGGTACATTTGTATTAGTAAATTTAGGAAGGGCATCTTGTGGTCCTGAGGACTAGTAGCATGACATGGCTGGCATCCATATGGCTTAGCTTTTCCCATGCTGTGCTTGCAAAATGATGGTAGTGGCATAGAGCTGGTCAGGACTGATTCCTGGTCTGTAAAGCTCCTCACTCCTGCTGCAGCACTGCTTATTTTCGTATGGGAAGACCATGCAAGTGAGTGCACTAACACTTAAATGGGATGGGCCCCATCAGAGCAGTGGTCAAGCATGAGCCAAGGCACTCTTTAGTTGTCTGTCTTGCTCTGTTTGAAGCACTTAATAAGCCTAGAGACCTTGCATATCTGAGATAAGCAGGAGGAGGTTGAGCCAAAAAATATAGTGTAAGAGACCCATCTGTAGTGAGAGTGACATGTGAGTGTGAAGCTCAAACGGGACACCTGAGAAAAGAGGGCGTTTGTGTTCTTAGGAGTGGTGAATGCTACGTGGAAGTTGATATTAATTTCACATGATAACAGTTCTTTCTTCCACAATGATTGTCTTCATTACTCAGTTATGCGAATTTAAATCTAAAAAAATTTAGATGAAAGATTCTTGCATAATCCCTCTCAATCCACATTTCTTTCAAAGAAAACAATGAGTCCATCTTGGAGAAAGTTTTCCATTACTATATGAAATACCTTCTCTGTAGTATTTATATCCCAGTTGTCTTGCAAGACACTCTCCATTTCTTACAAGGAGAATTTCCTATTAATTTTTTTTCTCCTCTGTCAAATTAAACAGTAATGTATGGCCTGGACAGAAGATAAATGTTATTAAAATAAGGCCTTCCTGCTTATGCAGAAATTGTTCAAAATGTAGCTGGTAGTACTTACTCAAATTTTGTCGTAGCTCTCTTACTGTCAGACCACACGGAATCCTCATCATTCTGCGTGCAAAGCAAGCAGTGCAGAAGGTCCTTTATAGTATAGGGAATTCATTGGGGGGAATGCAAATGAACCCCAAAGACATGCCATATCAAGTCTATGCCTGATGTGAATTTACCAAGCTTCACTAAAGCTAAAGGAGAAAGAAAAGTTATGCTGTGGTGAGGTTAGTCTTTTTACGACTAACTTTTGAAGTGTATTCTGTACCCTATATTTTTGTTGTGCATAAAAAAATAATTAACAAAGAGATAGTTATCTAATCGGGGTGTTACATTATATCTAGGCCTGTGCTGAAATTTCCTGCCTAACAATACAGTATAGTAAAAATCTCTCAGTTGTAACTTTGTGTTTTCAGGAAAAGTAATGGAAATTATAAATCGTGTGTTTC